TTAAAAAAGCCTATACTTAATAGCTTTAAAAAAGTTTAGGGTGTATAGTAATAAAAAAAAAAGTAAAAAAGCAGGTGTAAGCTAAAGTAAGTAAGCTATCTTAAAGGTGCTATAAATAGTGTAATTAGACTAGGCATAATACATAAATATGTAAGTAAGAAGTAAAAGTAGTATCTAAATAATATTCTAGGCTGTACTGTACTATATAGTGCTAGAGCGGGTTGTTATAGGCTATAATAGAGTTTGTTAGGGTGGGGTCTTGGCAAAAGTGAGCGACTCGGGTGTGTGAGCAACTCGCCCGTGAAGTACGTTAGTGTCACATGGAGACATCAAACCCGGAGCAAATCCAACCCCAGGCAGACAACACAGCAGGCCAAGTATCGTTAAGCTTATAGGGATAGGTACTAGAGCTATGCCTCAAATCCAAGCCCATCCACCGTTCCAAGAAATTCTGCATTTCCTTCGCCATTCAGTAGTGCATCCATATCGACACCACCCCCCGTCAAATACTTGGCACTGACGCCAACGTTCACTCGCTGACTTAGGAGCGCTTTCAGTTCTGCTCTCAAGGCTTGCATCTCTCCTTTGCTCGTTGCACCAGCTTCATTCTGCTTCTTCTTTCGACCGCTTCCGCGACCTTGACGTCCTGGGGCTTCAGCCTCGAATGTATCACTGTTATAGTCTACACCCAAATCTTCTGCAGCAGCACTGAGCCAGGCGTCTTCGGAGTGTATCTTTTCTTTTGCAATGACTGCATCGGCAAGTTTCTTGGCTAATGTTGCGCGGGGTTTACAGCGCGACACAATGCGCCGATCAAGGTCGAGCGTTCGAATGAAGTAGGCAGTGTTCTTTGATTTTACAGTCTGTTGAGGTCGTGCGTGTACCTTCGCCACCAGTCTTCTAACGCCGGCAACCTCCTCGGGGGCGCATATTAGGACGCTAATTCCTGAAGCCTTTGCGCGTGCAGTTCGTCCTGAACGATGCACGTACGTGTCTGCCGCACGAGGAAGATGGTAATGCACGATCAGATCTACGCCAGGAATATCTAAACCCCGTGCAGCAACGTCTGTGGCGACGAGTATAGACCCAGGTTGGGTAGTGAATCGCTCAACGGACCGAAGCCGGGACTTTTGCGGCATCTGTGAATGTAGCGGGTGAGCCACAAGGTTCAGGTTCTGAAGGAACGGAGTGACGCGACGAACGGCCGAGATGGAGTTTGTGAAAATGAGCGAACGTTTCTTTGGGTGAAACAATAGGAGAGCGTAGAGATAAAGATCTTTCTCGGTTCCTGCGCATTCAATCAACCCCTCCTTGAGCCTAGATGCCATCTGCGATGAAGGATTGGCGTCGATGAATTTTGGCTTCCCCTCTAAAAATCGAACCTTTTTGAGAAGATACTCCATAGACTCTTGCTTATTCAGGAGATCGCCGCCTTTAGCAGCTTTGCCCACGAGTTTTTGCTGCAAACCCTTATAAAAGGTTGCGGAGAATACCAGTGTCTGACGCTGAAGCTCTGGGGTTTGGTCAGGGTTGGAATCACCTCCCCCTTTTTCCTCATCGCAGTCTAATATTTTGAGAATTTTTCCAAGCTCTTTGTAGTGACCTTCACTTAATAAGCGGTCTGCTTCATCCACGACCAGAAATTGGATTTGTTTGAAGGATTTGACAAGCCCTTGGCCACTACTTATGACTTCCCACAATCTCCCAGGAGTACCAACAACAACATCAGCATTTTCGAGTTGTCGACGTTGCTTTTGGACGGATAGTCCGCCGGTAACGGCAGCTATCGACGGTGCATTAAAGTCGCTGCCTGAGCAGAGGGCTGTCAAGTGAGCCGTTAGCTGATGTGCTAGCTCTCGAGTGGGCGAGATGATCAGGGCGAGAGGTGTAAGGCGTTCGGCCTGCGAGGAAGCCAGGAACCGTTCGAGAATAGGTATACCAAAAGCGAGGGTCTTTCCTGAGCCTGTTGAAGCTTTGCCAACGACGTCATGTCCAGAAAGTATTTCTGGAATCGCGGAGGACTGTATCAAAGTTGGCTGAGAGAATCTCAGTCGTGCCAGGGAACGCAACGTTTCCGAAGACAATCCAAGATTACCCCAAGCCGACACATCCACTTCGTCCACGTCGTCGTCCCCACTCAAAGGCTGGTCGGCCAGGATATCGAACGCGCCTTTCCTATTTACACTTGTTTTACCATGGTCCTGTTTCTTCTTCTGCTTCTGCCGTTTCTTCATCTTCCGCTCTGCAGCCTTCATGGTCCGCAAGGAATTCTCGGACAAGTCCTGGGCATCTTTCTCGTCCAAATACTCCTTGATCGCGCCCCCCTCCTTATCGCTGAAGCCCATCCATGAACCTTCATCGCTAAATCCATCCTCAGGCTCGTGTAGGACAGCAGCTCCACTATGAGACTGACCAGCGTCTTTCTTCTTCAAGCTGTCTAGCGTCGAGCTTTCAAAGGATATTGTTCCAGTTATTGCGTCTCTTACGACAGCTACATCTTCAATTTCTTCCAGTCCATAGAATCCTTCAAAGTCCTCCAAGCGATCTGGCATGGCAACTTCCTCCCATTGTAGGTCGTCTAGCTTGACCTTGCATCGTTTCGACGCTGCCTTTGTGGGGACAGTGGAGGACTGCGCGCTTTGATCAAGCTTCTGACGTTTGCGAGCCTTTATGGCTGCTATTTTTGGCGGTAGGCCGCGCTTCATGGTAGAACGGTGGCTGTCGGGGTGAAGAGGAAGCAAAATTGAAATTTTGAGATTGCTCAGCCGTCGGCGGAATTAGCACCGCCAACGGGTAAAATCGCTCGCACCAGAATGAGGCACGTGACTCTTTCAACAGTATCCCCCCGTAAGTATTCGAGCATTATAGCAGTGTGTAAGGAGTTTAGAAGCTTGTATACTACCGCTGCAAAAGCTTGATGACGTTCTTGAATTTCCGAGGCGGTGCGTTGTGTGCCTGTGTAGTGCCAAGCTTTGTCCCTCTATTTTCGCCTGCCCTTGACACGGCCTCTTCTCCAGGACCATCTATCAACTCTGGCTCCAATGGGAAAGTCTTCAAAGGACAAGCGAGACGCTTACTACAGGCTCGCAAAAGAGGAGGGGTGGCGCGCCCGCAGTGCCTACAAACTTCTCCAGCTCGATGAAGAATTCGGCCTGTTTGAAGGCGTTACGCGCGTGGTAGATCTCTGCGCGGCTCCCGGCAGCTGGAGCCAAGTCCTTTCCCGTGTTTTGGTCAAAGGAGAGAAATTCAGCCGAGCAGGGTGGGAAGAGAAGCAAAAGGAGACGAAGCAATATGTCCTCGGCCATGCTTTCCAAGAGGATCTAGCCGGAACTAAAGAAGGCGGGAACTTGAAAAGCCAAGAGGAGGAGCGAAAGACACGAGAGAGTGTCCGTATTGTTTCAATTGACCTACAACCCATGAGCCCTCTTGAAGGGGTCACCACCTTACGAGCTGATATCACGCATCCATCCACCATTCCTCTACTTCTCAAGGCATTGGATCCCGATACATTCGACCCAAAGGTCACTTCCGCCTGCCATCCAGTTGATCTTGTAATTTCTGATGGTGCGCCGGATGTCACCGGTCTCCATGACCTGGATATCTATGTTCAGAGCCAGCTGCTCTGGGCGGCTCTTAACTTGGCCCTTTGCGTCCTGAAGCCTGGTGGGAAATTCGTTGCAAAGATATTTAGAGGAAAGGATGTAGATCTTTTGTTTGCACAGCTCAAGATCATGTTCTGTACGGTGCGAGTGGCAAAGCCACGGAGCAGCAGAGCAAGTAGCGTTGAAGCTTTCGTCGTCTGTGTGGGGTTCCACCCACCACATCGTTTCTCCGCAAGTCTGGACAACCCATTAGGTGCCAGAGCACAACTACCCTCGGACGAACAGACTGCCAACGAAAAGACGAAGCCATCGAGGAAGGTCAGGGATGATGGCGCCATTGAGCTAGACCTTGATTCTGACGAGGAAGACGAACACGATGTGGAAGAAGGCAGAGGACGCTGGATCGCCCCTTTCTTGGCCTGCGGAGACCTTTCAGCTTACGATTCCGATGCGACATATCATCTTCCCAAAGACCGAATTAGTCTTGATCCAGTGCAGCCTCCAACAGCTCCTCCGTATAAGCGCGCACTAGAGATGAGGAAGTTGGCAGGTGGTGCATACGGAAAGACAAAAGGCCAGGAATGTCAGGGCCCTACTTGAATCTCCTCCAAAAGCCACAAACCTAGGAAGTTGTTCTTGTGAGAGAACCCTCTGTACCACTTTCAATTGTGAGCTACTCCTCTATTGTTCCCTGGTAAACAGCGGATCTCACTCTTCCCTAGATAGAGCTGTTTGTGATGGCAAATCTTCCAGATAGTTCTGATGATTTGCGCAAAGTTCAGGACGAGTGCTCCTATATCGGTATCTCATCCTCCTGACCTCAAAAAGCCTTCACGGAGAAATTCCTGTCCAGACTCGCCAGCCAGGATCTCATTCGTCAATTGCATCAGCCACTGTCATTAGCCATTTCAGACATTCCAGACCCATTCACACCCTACAAAGTTCTCGGAATGGTCTTCTGCACGCCTTCTTGTCATGCAAGGCTGATATGGTAGAGGTTCTAGCCCAGCCTTGCGATAACCCATCGTTTTCGTGCACGATTGGGGCAAACTTACTCTATTAGGCATTCCTTTGTCGCTCTAGTTTTCTTGTCTTGGCTTAGTATCCTCAGGTGAGATCATTCTTGAACGTGCGACAGACTCATGATCCAAGAACTCGCGACCTTGCGTAACCCTGTCTGCCAGCGCCACCAAAATGGAATTTCCTCAGCTCGCGTTCCCTTTCCCTACGAAGTCTCGTCGGACGACTTTCTCCTCGTCAAAGTGGCTGGACAATATTGTGGCTTGCGAACTCATTGGTCGGCTTCAGCATTCACTTGCATGTCTCACGTTCCTCCATCCTATACACAAACCTGATTGGTGAATTGTACCGGCTCCAGATTTGCTTCACCAGCACACATTTCTGAACACTTCGGTATTACCCTTCAGAGAAGATTGAAAAACGTGCTTCTTCAGCCTCAATCATGATGTTGCGGCTTTATAAGCCTGCATCCCGATCAATCTGGCTGCTCAGCCTTGAGTCCTAAACGTTGCGATACTGTGACCACAATATAGCGGACTACCAAAATGAATACCTTGATCCCATGTATTGGCCTCTCACTCCTATCCACCATTGACTTAGTGTATGGAGTTCCCAGTCCTGTGGACCCAACGATCACACCTGCCCCCTTACTTCCAAGGGCCGTAGATAGCCTCGTTGGATATTACTTGAACAATTCAGTATCATCATGTAAGAACCCTCAAGCTACATGGTTTCTAAGTTCCGGGACCTGACTAGATAGATGAACCGTTGTATTGTCTTGGTTCTAGTGGACCCTCGACTTGGTCTACGACTTCGACATGGGGGTACTGCTGTCCTGAGACTGGAGTATGCTCCCAGTTTGTGACATCTTGCAGCGGCAAATTTGCGGTGAGAACAAACGGGGTAAAAGTTAATTGGTGAGTTCACGTGCCTGTTTATCTGTTGTTGAAGAAAGCGTAGATGTTGATATTTGCACAAATTATAGCAATACGGACGGTGGGGCTGATTGCAACACCGATTTCGTGTTTGCGACTCTGGGCGACTCGTATCCAACTTTTTGGGTAGGATGTGTTGATGCCGGCCAGACCCAAGGGAGCTACTTTCGGACGGAGCCTCGTCGTACAACTTCGAAACCATGTGAGCGAAGCGCTCCCACTTGATACATGTGCATCTTGCTAACATACAATCTAATAGCGGAATCGTCGAAGCCATCCCCCTCATCTTCAAGGACAACTACCACGACATCCACAAACCCAAGTCCTACTCCCTCCTCGAATCCACCTCCCGGCCCAAACAAGGCAACATACGCTGGTGTAGCCATTGGTGCTGTTGCCGCTCTTGCTATCATTGGTTTCATCATCTACTTCATTATTTCAAGACGACGTAAAAATAATCCTTCCCCTGGTGCGGGTTTCAATTATGCAGCACCACTGCCACCGCAACCAGGTCAGCCCGAAGCAATGAATCCACCCATGAGTCCACAACCCGGTGCTCTATACAGTCCTCCGATGAGCCCGCCGCCGCCAATGAGTCCACCCCCGCAAGACGCTGCATGGCCGGCAGATCACAAGACTCCTGCATATACAACAAATGGGTATGTAATGCAAGAGTCTAGCTACAAGTCTCCGTCGGTTGCGGCTGCGTATATGGCGCCAGATCCGTCTGTCCCAGGATCTTCGGAATTACCCGCCCAACAAGTCGCCCAGCAGAGGGTAATGCCGGAGTTAGCCTGACGGATCAGGCCGACTAGTATCTTGACTTGACTGCAGCTCTAGAATGTTCTTATCGGCTGTCGCTTGCTTCCAAACCCTGCCGTTTAAAGAATGGGGAGTTTATGTGATATCACTGTCTGTTTTATCCTCGTTATTGAGGTCTCTTTAGTTTCGTCTTTGATTCTTTAGAATTGGGCTCTCTCATGTTGTTGATCGCGCATGTGTTTGTTTTTCTCGTGATTTAGTGACCATTGGGTGTTGAATCGCTTAACTTCTGCAGCTCGACGACAACCCCCTCCTTCCCCTCTAAATTACTCCACAAAGTGACTTGGCACCGGGATAATTATCTAGTTGATAGCCAAGATCTGCCATCCGGAATTATGACAGATGCCCGAAACCCCTATTGAGGGATGGTGGTGTGGCTGTATAATCCCAATTTTTTTATATGGTGTATTCGCTGGGCTAAAATGCTACTTGACTGAGTTCGCTCCTTCATGACGCTCCTCGAATCTGCCAACATGAACACATTCCTTACTACAGTTTCACTCTCGGCATTATTCTCAGCGGGCTTTGTGGATTCGGTGCTAAATCCTGCTGATCCGACAATTACCGCTGTCGCTATACTCCCAAGAGACGTCAGCGACCCATACTTCATTGGATACTATCTGAATTCTACAGATGGTAAATGTGCGTAGTCCGAAGCATCTCTAAAACTTCTGTCTAACTTTGTCTGCAGACTCTTCTTCAGGTTGCGCGGCCCCATACACATGGTCTGTTTAGCAGTCATGGGGCTATTGTTGTCCTGATGCCAAATGCTTCGACTACATGACCGTCTGTGGTGGTCCAAGCAATCAATATGCCATTCGCTATGGGGCCAGTACTGGATCGTACATTAGCACATGGTATGCATGCGCAGTTCGTCGCCTTTGAGATGCTAATTCGAAGTTTAGTGGGGGGAAGTGTAATACTGATTATATCTACCCAACTCCAGGTGCTTTAACCTCTTTGCGATGGGTTGGGTGTGTCCCAAATGCCGCAGGGACGACATCATATTTCCTGACGAAACCTGTAGACCCAGTTACCTCGAGCTGTAAGTCATTTGTGTTTCCGCTACGTTAGACTTCCGCTAATGAATCCCTCAGTTTCAGGTCCCTCCTTGCCCTCGACAAAGCCTACACCAAACCCAACCCCAAGTTCTGGCCCAATATCCTCTCCTAGCCCGGGTCCGAGCCCGGGTCCCGCATCCTCAAGCCCTAACAAAGCTATTTATGCAGGCATCGTAATTGGAGCCGGAGCCATCCTCGCCATCATTGGCTTCATCATTTACACCATCATGACAAAGCATCGAAAGAAGGAGGAGAGCGTGAAGAAGCCTACCAGTTTCGAGGATGCGCCTCTAGAACAACCAATGTCTGGCCCTGTAGAGATTATGGGGACTCCAATAGATCCACCTTTCGCTGGTCCGGTTGAGATTGGGGGGACTCCAGTAATTCCCCGAACGCGCAGACGACTCCTCGGCCGTACGATTACAAAGTACCCGAGTACGCTGCGATGAGGTAGGAACCAATGTCTACTATTCTTAGAGTTACCAAGTTGGGGGCCACTCCTAGAATGGCGTAGGGTCTAGGCGTATGCTTCATGACTGGCTATATTCCGAGGAGGTGGTGTCCCCAAGTCTTCATGCCGCCGGCTATGGCGACTCTGACTCAAATACAAGGGGTTGCATTAAGGGATGATGAGTTCGACATGGTAAATCATAGTTCGGGGACGTGGCTAGGGTTAGGAAGTGTTTAAGAGGATTTATCTCTTTTCACAACATCTCTCTACCTGTTACTATATTCCTAAGAATAAATCTGATAATCTGTGGCAATAGTTTATAAGAATCTTGACTACACCGTTAAAACATGGAAGAGTTTCTCAGTATTGGCCGCTATATCTACTATCTTGGATTGTTAGAGTAATCTAAGAGGAACGAGTACTGTATTCTTATCATCTAATGTGAAACATGGGAAGACGATAATTAAGAAACGATATTTGCCTCCTATTCATTTTTTGCTTGATTTTAGCAAGTCAAACGGATCATTCAGATTAACTCTATCCTGGCTGTGTTCCATGCTGTTGGATAATATGGTATAATGGTTGAACTCGTTACGCAGTATGAAAATATTAGTGGATGGAGAGACATATCTTTCTCACCACGCAACTTTTGGTTTTGTGATTCTGGTGAGGAAAGGCATGACAAGCGAACTGCATGTGCTTCGACCTTCCAAAATCTAAGCATCCGCAAGCCACAAAAACTCAGCCTTGCAAATAACCCCGGTCCAGACCCGCTCAAATACGAGTGACATGTCCATGGCGCGGAAACCTCAGCCGCAAAGTCCGGGCGACCTGATCTCGCTGCGGATTTCTAAAAGCAACGTTTCTCTGCTCTGAATAGTGACCTGATGAGCTCCTTCTTCACATGCCACTGCACCCAACATCCCTGCGCAAACCCTTCCTCGCATGCATTTGCATAGAGCTTCGAATGTTTAAGATGAGAGAACTCAACGTGCTCATAATATCCTCGCTCTTATCTCTCGGCTTCGCAGATACCTTTTCCCCATCTTCTATTGACTTTTCGCCGCTCGTCACACCGCAGGCTGTGCTGCCACGACAGGAAACCCAAGACTCACGCTTCATCGGCTTCTACCTCCCCACAGGAACACTTTCCTGTAACGCGAATTTCTTTTACACAACTGCAGTGTTTTTCGTGCGCAGTACCAGCTCCACAATCGCGACATGTTTACCCAACGAACAGAAAACAGATGTGCGAGGTGCAGAGTGGTGGGTGGATTGCACGCATCGGATTAATGGAACGAGGGCAGAGACATTGTACGCCTTTAATATTTCCCCTAGTTGTTTGACTATATTCCAGCATATTTGCACTTATCATGGAACATTGTCAGGACGGGTTTGCCCACGCTAGGATTAGGGCGAACGTTCATAGCATACAATTTTCAGTCCTGAGATACTCCAATCCAACCCCCACGTTAGATAATGGAATGTAGTACAGTACAGTATGCACTGACAAGTAGTTACTTTTTAGCACGCAATCGAATTGCGCAACAGGTACGATATTCAAGTCCCTAGGTGATACGGAACCAACATACTATTTCATTCCCTCCTCTGGGATGCCGACAACCTTGTACCGCAGCCAGCCCAGCGTCATCTCTGCTACCACGACATCCAATCCAAGTTCTTCCTCGTCAAGAAAGGGTGCGAGTGCGACGGTCATTGGAGTTTCAGTCGGTGGAGGTATTGCGCTGATTGGTATCGTTGTTGTCATATGTGTGTGGGTTTTGAGACACAAGAAGAGAAGGCGCGAGCAGGAACGCGTAGAGAGACGGCAGATTGACGCGTTAAGTCCGGCAGCTGTGGTTCCGCTTGTGCCTGTGGTGCATTATTACAAATGACAGCATTTCCAAGTATCCGCATTATCAAGGGTTTTCACAAGAAGACGGTGGCTAGGGAAGCGAGAGTGCTGGGGGGTATATTTTGTCATGATTTTGCATTCGTCGACCACTAGACCTTCTAACCGGTCGTAAATTTCGCCCGAAGCCTGGTTATCCTGCCTCGAAGAACCCCTTGCAACCCCCCGGCACCCATTGTTTGAACTTCATCAGCGCCAACGAACCTTCTCACGAGCAGATTGAAAATATTGCCAAAGCCCAACGCCATCACGGTACTCGTGAGAATGATGACGTTGTAAGGCATACTGAAATCCGGGGTCGGCAAAGGAAGCAGTAAGGACGTTGTTCGGACATAAACGCCTTGCTTTCCTGAAGAGCCGGGGGAAAGGAGCCGGATAACAGCGGGAGCAACATCGAAGCCACGGTTTGCGTCCGGCGGGTATTCCGTATATCTTAAAATCGCTTTCTCGAAATCGTAGGTCAGAGTGAGGGTTGACGCGGGAGGGATAGCCATGCAGAGTTCGAGGTGGGTCCCACGGTGACGATCCACGGCTGGTCGGTAGTAGGTTTCTTTGATAGGATTTGAGGGCGAGGTATCGACACGGGCTTGAAGCGTGTGCAGGTATGGCTTCATGAACCAAGGGAGTGACTCGAGATAGACGAACTCGACAGAATCGGTGAAGGACGGGTTGCGGATTACAGCCTGGATGCTGCCACGTTCTTGGCCGTGACCGTTGATGGAACGGGCGGCAAAAAGTGGAGGGCTTGCAAGGACGAGGCCAGTAGTCATTTGTTGTTCAGGAAGGTCGATGTCGAAATCGGCACCTGTTGGGAGCTTATAGCATCGCACTGTGTCCGAAGCAAGCCGGGTTTCGACATATTGCCCGGTTGTGTTGGCCTGTATAATCCTTTCAGGAGGCGTGTTGATGCAAACCGTTTTGGCGCCTTCTCCATCTTCATCGGTCAGGGGGCAGGCTCCTTTCAAAGATCTGCCAAATATGTCTGTGAGATTCCATGGCGGTTCTGCGGATTTATCCAGGGGATAGCATGTGTCTTCTGCATTATAATGCTTCGAGGTGTCGCAAGCGATTTCCTCGATCGGGAGAGGTCGGGGAATGGGGTTGTCCCGCGGGCGCTTCGATCTGTCAATATCCAGCACCATGTCCACTGTCTGCTCCATTTCCAACACACAATGCGTCCCATCCTGTCCGCATATGGGCCGCACGTCAATTGCCATGGTTTGCCACGAAGCATCGAATAGCTTGTGACCATCCAGCAGACTGGATATGCCTGCCTTGCCCTTGCAAGGGAGCAGCTTCAGGAAAGGCGTCAGGTTCTCCGTACACACGACTTCGTGTGGAAGCGTTCCATGCAATAAGTGTAGACTGGACGAGTTATGGTGGTCTCCTTCGGGCTGGAATGACATGACTGGTCGGATAGTCTTGGTAGCATCTATGAAGTTCAAGGAGGCGCAGAAAAGGCCTGAGAGAGCATTGGTGAGGGTTAGCCATCGCGCAAAGGCCCTGTGACACACGTTAGCCACTGCTCTGGACAGGAGTCGATGCTTACGCACTCTTCCTCACTCAGTGCTTCCAGCCACGCCCATAATTCCACTCCCGTGCCTCCTTCGCGCGCGCCATCCCAGGGCTGCTGTCCCCAGCTCTCAGCATCCCACCGCCCTAAGCTGAAGCGCAGATGCAGTTCCTTGGTTCCCGCATGCTGCAAGATCTGGCCCAACGACCGCGGGAAGTATCTGAAGTGTTGCTGGTCAAAAGAGGCCGAGGACTCGTTGCTGCGGAAATTGAACGAGGCAAGAAGGGCAGATCGGGGAAGGGGGCGGAGGAGGAGGCGCTCGTAGTAGTCTGAAGCTGCAGAGGCGAAGGCTATGAGGTAATTGAAGAAGAGTAAGGGGAGAAAAGAACGCATCGCGGCATTGCAGCCACGCCCGAGAGCTGGAGAGGAAATAAGTTGCAGGCTTGTGATTTTCCTGCCACCCTGTCCGCGACGTAACTCTCACGTGCTGACTCAGGGCTTGGCGCATCCTTTTCAGAAGCGCGACGGGCTCACCTCGATTTCTTCGTCGCAACACCACACCACAACGTCGGGGAGAGCGCATCAGCTCTTGATAATCATTGCGCGTGTCAGCTTACAAGTAAAGACATAGTGCGACAACAACCACGATGGCGGCGGCGGATATGCGCAAGCTGCTTGGCATGTACCTCTTCCTCCCCAGCGACCTTGCTGGCTAACCTCTTCTACAGAGCAGCTCATGGGCCAGCAGGCCATGTCTGCCGGGCCCCGCGCACCCCAAATCGAAATCACCGATCCCAAGGCATGTCACTCCTACATCGTTGGGAACTGCCCCCACGATCTGTTCACCAATACCAGACAAGACTTTGGTCCGTGTCCCAAGTTGCACAGCGAAGCTTTGAAGCTCGAGTATCAAGATGCTTCACCTGAGCAGAAGCGCGAGTGGGGCTTCGAGTTCGACTATCTTCAGGACATGCAGAGGCACGTGTTTGAGTGTGATCGCCGCATTGACACTGCGCAACGAAGGCTCGAGAAGACGCCAGATGAGATTCGACAGACCAACCAATTAGTGAGTATAGTATCCGTCTGCTTAACATATGGAGATAATACTCATATAGGCACAGCTGAAACAAATCAACGAACTGACCAAAACCATCGAGAATGGTATGCTTGAAGTTCAAATCCTCGGTGAAGTCGGCCAGGTTAATCGGGCTGTATCCGAGTTCTTCATTGTTCGCCAGAAGAAGCAGGAGAAAGAGGACAGGGAGCGGGATTTGAAATCACTTGCCGACACCGGAGGGCCGTCAGGTCACCAGAAGTTGCAGGTCTGCGATGTGTGCGGCGCATATCTCAGTCGGCTGGACAATGATCGGCGATTGGCAGATCATTTCTATGGCAAGATGCATCTCGGATACGCGCAGATGCGCAAGTCGTACAATCAACTGAAGCATGAGGTGCAGGGTCGTCGCCCACCACGAAGACACGCCGATGGTCCACGGAACGACTTCGAGCCGAATGGCTACCGCGGACCTGGAGGAGGCCATGGAAGTGGTGGATGGGGTGGCCGGGGCGCACGTCGTGGTGGTCGTGGTGGTCCCCGCCGAGGAGGCTGGTGAAGTTTCTTGCATCTGAGGAGCAAAGGAGTTCAGGTGTGTCGTATAATTCGTCCGCTTCCCAAAGGTTCGGCTTACCTCTAGCATTTCAAAAGGAAAAGCCTAGGCTTGGTTGGTTCTCTATATAGCGAGCAGGTTTCGGGGATGGATGCTTCTTGGGGGCATGGGCATACACCCTATCCAATCACAGTACGCCTTCTTCAAAATGCGGCAGCACCACCCCATTCTCTAACAGAATTGACCAGGTGGTTGTATACCTAGTAATCGATCAATGAAGACTCTAGCATGCTGACCCGCAGCTTCATCTCGGTATGTATTTTCTTACGGACTACTTGCTACATCCTCAGGTATCTAATAAGTATCTACTACTACAATTTTTGCACATGCACTAAGCTCCACTGATCTTTCCCTCGAAGCGCTACGGGGAGGTACAATGGTAATATGGCTGATTGTCTCTTTCCCTCCCTTTGTTTGTATGACCCACGCATATCTATTTGTTCAAACTCGTGGTAGTTATTTTCGTTAGAATCGTGCAGGAGACCTAAGTATAACATCTCTTTTCTGCTGATTTGATCATCCACTTCGTCATTAAGAGCCGCCAGCACATTTCCTTCCCTTCCGCATGCCGTCTTGACGCACAATGTTGTTCCACAATGACAGATGCGTCGTCATTAATAAGCACGCCATTGTCGCCTTCGTTCAGAAGAGAAGTGGGCGGAGTGGCAGCAAGGGATGTCATTCAGTAAATTCAAGAATGTGCCATCGTCTCAACCCCAAGTTCGTGTTTCGTTCGCCCTTGCTGATAGTCTAATTGACCGTTTATTTTCCCTGCGATGTTCCTCCCAAGAGATGTCAGACCATCCTCTGTATACATATTCAGCAGCGTCACCTTCAAGCCTTAGAGCACCGAGCCCAATCTCGCAACACAAGTATAAGCGCCAAATCTAGCGCTGGGTCTCTATCTAGCCAGACTGGGAACACCAACTATTGTCGAACCGACGCATTCCTATTTCTCTGAATTTCCTTGCAAAGTGCTTCACACACATCAAACCAGTTGAAAGCACCAATCAAGATGGTCAGACTGTAGAGAACCAGCAAGACATCCTTACACTTGGGGCCCGTGTTTACATGACCAATATTACTCTCGCCAATAACAGCTACAGCCTTGTCATTGGCATCTGGAACAGCGATAACTGAATTGCAGCAGACAACTTTCAATGAAAATCGCGTCAGAGTCGTGTTCCTCTTCCCAGTTGGCTTGTGGATTTGGCCAACTGTATTCTGTAGAGATATCCGAGACGTTTCCAGAGATCCCGACACCCGATTCCCAAGTTAGGTACACGGATGGGGTATTCTTTTCAGAGGGGTTAGGCACTGAAGACCTGGGGATTACGGGACCAGTTAAGTCAGGCGATTGGAGTTGTTGATACCGAATTTTAGCGAGGAGAGGGCATAAGCAGCGGGCTGATGGGACTTGCATATCTCGTTCTTGCGAATCATGCGAGAGTTTTGAATTATACTTCTATCGTCTTCACTTTTTAAGTTACTTCTTCGAGTCCCACTTTCCACCCCATCCCCCAATTCTCTTAGATTAATGAAGATGTGAACTCACTTCAAGTTACAGACTCGTTTTCCTCGCACTTAGCAGACCAATTTCCGACAAACTATTTAACAGCAATGCTCTTGCTCTCAGAGGGAACCCAGCGATTGAACACGATTCAGAGTTTGCACCCGTGCCCATGCTTTTGATCATCTCGGAAAATTTATGCTTTTTGCTCTAACCCTGTGGACGGATTCGTCATAAATGGACCCCCCGGGTCTGTCTCGGGGGTCCTCGTACCCGGTCCGCAAGCCATCGCGGAAGACAGGCCTGAGCGAATTTCAGTGCTGAGGTGATTGAGACGGTTACCGATAACGGGACGACGTTGATGTGCCGCCCCGATTCTGCTCCCAATTACCTCGCCTCTCAATTTTTTACTCCTGCGACATATAGCCGGTAGAGTAATCCGGGTGCGGCGGATTGTGAAGCGAAAACCCCGAGGTTGTTAATCATCATTAGTGGTAAGGCTTTGCAAATCCGCTAGATATGATGAGTATTGCGAGTATGAGATGATTTGATGGAGATACATGCATCGTTGCTGATCAACAACAGGGACAAGGGGTGCAGTACGAGGAGATAACTTTCTGGAAAATGTGCATGTTTTTGGTGTCGGGCGAATGAAACTGGGGTTGTGGGAAGGCAGGAATATTGACGTCAACGAGCGTTTTGTGTATGTCAGGCGGTTAGCATATAGGCCAATTTTCTCCGCCATATATCCTCTTCTGGACGCATCGTGCGGTACTGCTGTGCTTGAGTTTCATCAACCACTCAGGCTGATGCACGAAACCTAAGGTGCATCCACGGCCTCGGAACCCCCGAGATTTTGAACATCACTTCATTTGAATCTCTTAGGTTTCAAAGATTCACGGTAAGGCTGCGACGAAATTGGAACAAAACTCTAAAAATGCCTAAAAGTGGCACGATGCATGCATTTTACAAGGATGCTCAGGTTGCCACGATGAGTGTTGAGGTCGCCGAAGTAGGCAGAGGTCCGTGCACCACATGATTTCGGCGATGTGACTCTGGTCTGCACTTCGACGTCGTTCCCTATCATCCAGTCAGCTGAAATGTGTAGCGAGCCAAAGCCTATTACCGTAATACAGGCGAGGTTGCGCGCGCGAGCTTGTCCGTTTTGTGAAGGTTCCCCCGCCTGAGCTGAGGGTGGGCTCGGCGTGGTAGGAGATGGTGGTCACCGCTTACCAAAAGCTTCGCCTTTTCGACAGCTGCGCTTCGTGGCGCCCTGTGGAGTAACGATGGAAGGCAGGGGCCAGTATGCGGGACCTTGGACCCGGTTGCTGGGTAGAAGAAGGGTTTCTTTCCTTCTTATTTTTTCTCTTGAAGGTTTATAACAGCTCTGGTTCCTGTCTTTTCTTTCGACTAGAGATTTTATTGGGTATTTTAATCCATTTCCACGTCTGTTTCTTATTCCTGTTGTCTGGGTTGGATATTCACGATGTCGGCAAGAGTGTCAGTCGACGTTGAGAAAGACGCTGGAGGCGACTATGCCCATCTTACAAACACGGCCATTCGCAGCTTTGGCTGGGAGAACGTCACGGTTACCGTGAAAGATCGAAGTACGAAGCAGCCAAAGGACATTCTTTCCGGTGTCAATGGCATTGTCAAAGCTGGTGCGACTGAATCTCAGATTCTGTTATGTTGTTGCCAACCTAATGATATGATACAGGTGAAATGCTAGCTCTGATGGGACCTAGGTACGACAGTGCCTCCATTTCCTCTTGAACGCCCCAGCTAATGGTCTAATCAGTGGTTCCGGAAAGACAACATTGCTGAACGTCCTAGCGCATCGTGAAGCAACCCCCCACGCCACTGTCCAGCAATCCTTATACATCAATGGCACCAAAACTTCGCTCAAGGACTTCCGCAAAATCAGCTCCTACGTCGAGCAAGAAGACGCTCTTGTCGGCTCCTTGACCGTTCGCGAAACCCTCTACTTTGCTGCGAAGCTCTCTCTGCCAAGGTAAGTTCCCTCATCTGGATCTACTATTTGATGTTACCTTCGCCCCTCAATGCATCATTGCAAGGCTGACCACCCATTACAGCTCCGTGACCAAAACTGAAAGAATTGCCAGAATCGACGCCCTCCTTGCCGCTTTTGGATTACAAGGACAGGCCGACTCGTTAATTGGGACGCCGATTCGAAAGGGTGTTAGTGGAGGACAGAAGAGGAGGGTTAGTGTGGCGGGCCAGTTGATCACGAGCCCAAAGATTCTGTTTCTGGATGAGCCGACCAGTGGACTGGACTCTGCAGCTAGCTTTGAGGTTATGAATTTTGTGCAGAGTATTGCGAGGAAGTATAAGGTGAGTCGTAAGCGAATTATGATAGTAGGCACATGTTGACTTTTGCTTCTAGATTATCGTCATCGCCTCCATCCACCAGCCTTCCACCACCACGTTCGAGCTCTTCGACAAGCTCCTCCTCCTCTCTCGCGGGAAAGTCGCTTACAATGGCTCTATTGCCGATGTCAAGGACTACTTTTCAACCTTAGGCTTCAACATGCCTCTATACATGAACCCCGCCGAATACATAATTCAGCTCGTCAACACCGACTTCTCTAAAGACCAGACCAAAGCCACATCGCAGCTTTCCACCATCCAGGACTCATGGTCGAAATCCCAAGATGCAGCCACCATGGTCCACAGCATTGAGACCGAAGTCTCTGGCAGCCCCATTGGTGTAAACTCTGACTTGGGGCACGGCGCCGCGGCAAACCCTTTCCTCGTACCCTTCACCCTGATCCACCGCTCCTTCATCAAGAGCTACCGTGACATCGTCGCCTACGGAATCCGGATCGCAATGTACATGGGTCTCGCCATCATGATGGGAACCGTCTGGCTCCGCCTCTCAACCGACCAATCCAATATCCAATCCTTCACCAACGCCATATTCTTCGGCGGTGCATTCATGTCCTTCATGGCTGTCGCCTACATCCCCGCCTTCCTAGAAGACCTCTCGCTCTACCACAAAGAACGGCTGAATGGCCTCTACGGCCCCACCGCCTTCATGATCTCGAACTTCATTATCGGCCTCCCCTTCCTCTTCGTCATCTCCCTCCTCTTCTCCATCATCGCATACTGGCTCGGCAATTTCCGCCCTAGCGCCGAAGGCTTCTGGGTCTGGGTCATGTGGCTATTCCTCGATCTAATCGCCGCTGAATCCCTAGTCGTACTGCTATCATCACTCATACCGATTTTCGTCGTCGCGCTCGCTGCAACGGCATTCGCTAACGGGCTCTGGATGAGCGTGAATGGATTCATGGTGCAACCTGAAACCTTGAATGTTTTCTGGCGCTATGTATTCCACTATATCGACTACCAAGCCTATGTTTTCCGCGGAATGATGGTCAATGAGTTTGGGAAGAGGACGTATACGTGCGGAAGCGATTGTCATTGCATGTACCCTTCGAAATTGGAGGCAGAGTGTAAGATTGATGGGAAAGCGGTACTGGCGTCGTATGGATACGATACGGGGAATATTTCCAAGTATGTGGGGTATATGTTGGTGATAATTTTAGGATATAGGTTGTTGGGATGGTTGGTTATGTATTTGAGGAAGCAGTAAGAACAAATGAGCAGATACGCTTTAAGGATACCTAGGTTGGGGGTTTCAACTAGAATAGATAGATACTTAATACTTTTCAATATCCTCATATACAGTTCAAAGCTTCGAAGCGCGTATACCAAGCTTCGCTGCTAAGCCCAAAAATAATCACCCGTAAGATATATACATTCCAAATTCTTTCTATCCTCCTTCTCCATCTTTATGTGCACTTTTATTTCAAGATGGACCCCCTCCCTACCACTTTCCTCACCTAATACTCCATAGCTTCCTCAAACAACCCCCGTAACTGCTCCCTCTCGGCATCGACATTCTGAATCTCCAAATTCGGCGCCAACATCAGAACTCTAGCCTGAGGGATCGTGCCTTCAACTAAAGCATCAATATGCTCCCTCCTAAACCCCAGGTGTTTCAATCCTCTCGGTTGATCTCCCAACTTAATCAAAAACTCTGCCAACGCCTCTCCCAGAACTTCACCTGCATTCTCCTTCTTAACTTGCGAGATATCGACTCCAAAGCATTCCGCTGCAGCTAGATGTCGCTCCGGATTCGACGCACCCGTGAATCTGAAAACCGCAGGTGCCGTCACGGCGACGGAGACCCCATGTGGGATGATGTCTTTCTCGACTTGGTATCCCGGGTGCTTGTACCCCGGATTCTGACCGGAGATGGGATACGACATTCCGTGGCAGAGATGCACACCTGCATTTCCAAACCCGACGCCGGCGAGCGTGGCGGCGAGGAGCATTTGCGATTGCGCTTCGTGGTCTTCGGGGTCTTTAACTGCGCGGGGTAGATATTTGACCGTATCCCGTAGCGCTTTCAGCGAGAAGATATCCGAAATGGGGTTTGCGCCCTGGTACGCGGGCCTGTTAATCGGATTCGTTGGTCTAGGGACTCTTTCATAAAATGGAATTGCAGTCCAAGATTCCAGTGAGTGGCAGAGGACGTCGAGGCCGGAGGAGGCGTGGACGGCGGAAGGCATGGTGCGGGTGTTGATGGGATCTACAATTCCGAGCGTAGGCTTGAGATTACGATGTGCGATGCCAGTCTTTGCGCGTTTTTCGACAAGGTCGAAGATGGCAGTTCCGGTGGTTTCGGAGCCCGTCCCTGCAGTTGTGGGGACGGCGATTAGAGGCATGAGTTTGTGGGTTATGGGGAGGCCTTTTCCGAGTGGGGCGTTGACGAAGTCGAGGAATTCGGCGTCTATTACATATAAGTTAATGATTATATATAATTCTCCTTTACGTGCCGTAATGCGAGTCTTATACTTCGGACGGGGATAAGTAGAAGCTGAGTCTTTACCAGGAAACGTCGTATACAAATTCATCAGCTTAGCCGTATCAATCACACTCCCCCCTCCCACCGCCAAAAATGCATCCGGACGATACGGTTTCGCAAAATCAATCGCCTCTCTTATACTACTATCCTTAGGTTCAACCATTACCTTATCAAAAACCTCAAACGGAACTCCTTCCCGCTCCAACCCCTGCACAACTTGCCTCATAGCATCTAACTTCTTCACATTCCCGTCCGTGACAACCATAACGCGTTTCGAACCGAGATTTTTAAAATCCATGCCGACTTCTTTGGTGCAACCAGGGCCAAATCGAATACTTGAAGCAGCCATTTCGAAGGCGTATTCTTTTTGCTGGGAGATATCGATTGGGGTTGCGAGATGGCGTTTCGCTTGCTGGACTGTAGTAGGACCATGATGGTGGTGCGTGGGGTTTGAGTGGCAGGGACAGGAGGGGGGATGGGTGAATTGGACGGTGCGGAGGAGGCTGAGGGCGCGGGCTGCGCGGGTGGGGGATACTCGGATTGCTGCCATTGCTCAGAACTTCAATGTGGTTCAAAGGACGGAGCTACAGGCGTCAACCAAGGTTGGTAATGGAGAATAAAGAGTCTGGGGGCAGATATTGAAGGTCATAGTCCGGTGCATACTTCATGGCAATGTAGAATGCGGAGAAGAACCTTGAGCTTTCCGATCCCGAGGTTCGATGCAAGGCACTGACTTGGCGCGGTAGTCTTGAAACGGTAAGCCGAGAGTTGAATGTGGGGTCAACATCCAGGGGTGAATGGAAGTTTGTTGAATGTCTTTAGGCATGGCGAGAATATATAAACAGGTAGAGCTTAGTTTAGGGAGTGGATGAGGAACAGATAATAATTTATCCTCAGTAATGATCAACTTCCCTGTATTCTGGGCGTGCGTCTCGAAGTCAATAGATAGAAACTGTAGCTGTAGGAGCATTAAACTATGAGATCAGATATGCGGCAGAGGTATCATCGACTTGAAAGATAAACGAAAGCACCTTCATATCTCTAGATCCTCTTCTAATGAATTCAAACCTCTTCAGTGGCTCTCTTTTTCTAGGACTCTCTACCATTCAATACTTTCCAGGCTCGCCCTCCACTCCTGAAGCTGGCGCCGCAGAAGCAGGTGCCGCACTTGCAGGTGTAGTCCCAGCCGTCTGCGCGCTCGCTGGACTCGTGGTATTCTGTTTCTCTAGTCCCTGTGTCTGCAATGGTGTAGGTTGTTTCACACTCGCACTCGGGCTTAAGTTTTCTTGTGGACTATTGTTGCCTGTTGCTGGACTGGTTGGCACAGAACTTTCAGGTGCCTCTCCAGAAACTTGCCCCGCCGCCTGTCTTATGAGCTCCCACCACTGGTTCGCGTTTTGTGTGGTATGTGCTTTGAATTGAAGTTCGTGGGACATGCTGAATTTGTTGCCAACTTTGCCTTTGGAGACATCTTTCCCTTTTACATTGAATTTCTGGCCGTTACAACCGCCAACGATGCAATCGGGGAGGTATAGGGACATATCCGGCACGGGGTCTCTAGCGAAGTCGTCATCTGTCTTGTATTCATGGAGGAATTTGGAAGGCGTGACAACGTAGTAATTAGTGTCATAGCTACGCATGACCTTGCCCTTACGTTCGAGGGAGCCTGCAATGAGGGGTTGCGTGGCGCGGTGGTTTTGGTTAGGGAAGTGGATGTTGGTGACGCTTCGGGCGGGTGCAGAGGGGTCGATCAGGATGTTGTTGTTTCGCTGGATGAAGCCATTCCATTCAAAGTCGAGGGGAATACGCTGAGCGGTACCAACCATATCTCCGTACATGACCTTTGTTTGTTCGGCCTGCGTGTTGACGATTTGCATGAATTGACCCATGCCATGCTGGATTGTCTGGATGATGTGTGCTTCAAATTGAGCAAAGCTGTTTTGCACACTGATTAGATCTTGTCTATTGTTGTTCTCCTCTTGGATCTGCTTGTTTAGACGATGCATAACACCGCGCTGGAGGACGTAGGGGTCATCGGCCGCCGACATCTTACCGCCATGGCTGTCGAAAGCTGCGGTATGCTGGCCTAACGTTTCGATATGCTTCTGGGTATGAGCACGTGCCTTGTCGACAGCCTTGCTGCCTTTACCGGCGCCTTTCGTAAGTTCCTTGGTCTTGTTCTTGATTTCAGAGTGAAGGCGCTCAAAGATTGGGAGAATAGAGCCCTTCAAAGCCTTGGCGGTATCGTAGTGGGAGTTAGAGATTCCCTACAAAATGTGGTTAGAGACATTGTCAGTTTTGAATGAGATGAAACGGCGTACTTGGGTGTTGGACCTGATATTCTCAAACATGCCCGCAATACCGCCAAGCGATTGATCGAAGTGGTGGCCCTCTTTCAGGGGATTTGATACAGTCTGCTCATATATTAGCTTTGCCTTACATGCTCAGGCTTGTTGACGCCTCTCACCTTAAGCACCTTTTCATACTCCTTTCCATGCGCATGATTCGTCTTCTCTGTGGCCGTAATGTAATCCGATAGATACCCGACGGCGTGCTTCCATGCCTGGAGGCGTTCCTGAAAGAGCTTCGTAACCTCACTAGTATCCTCTCCTGGGATAGCGTCCTCCTCACTCCCATTAGTAAAAGTCCGCGAAGGGAGCGCGCTCGTCGCAGAGGTTGGCGTCGTCATCTTGCCTTATAATTTCCCAATAGAAGTAAAAAAATTAAATGTCGTAGGCCGAGTTGATGTTGTGGATCGTAGGTCGAATGGGTGCAGTGGAGCTCATGAAACGTGAACCTTGAAAGAGGGGCACTCGAATGATACCAATGTGCGGCGTGACAATTTCGCTAGACTTGTGGGCGAAAAACAGAAGGGTCAGTGAAGTGCAGTAGAAAAATTAGCGGGCTATCGCGCGCAAAATATTAATTTATGCTCTGGATCTTGAACTCGTTCACTTCACGTCGCCAAAACCCCGATATTTACGCATTAGGCAAGGAAAGGAGTTGATCCGATCTACGTCATCGATGATCTTCGCAGGGTCTGCTCCGGCTGATGTCAGTGGCTGGCTTGAGTGGCTGAGCAGTAAAATTAATGGAGATGAATTCCACGATTTAGACACGTTGATTTGCCATCGAGAAGGACGAGAGATATAGTCTATGTTTTCGGAATTTGGTTGCTCGATCAAGCATGGTGCTGGATTTGCTTGTGGTGTGGGAAAGGTTGAGATCAGTCCGGCCTGGGATTCACCCACACAGCCTGAGCTAAAAGCATGAATTCCACTGTAGCAGAGCCCGTCTTCTGCTACAACCAACACGCTTGGCATGTGGAAAAGAGAAAAGCAAATCTTACTCTACCAATGACCTGAATATGGCGGGGGTATATCAGGACAAAATATCCATCATCTTGGTATGCAGTTGTTTCTGGCCAGTCGGGGTACTGATTAAATCTATTCTACCAAATTCCCACAGTAGGTTCGAATAAGTTGTGGTGTACATACCCAAGATATTGGGAAAGGGAAAAATGTTGCTTCTATGGTGTCGCTTTTTAAGCCTACGGGCTACTAAGTGCAGCTATAGCAATTCACTCTCCTCCGGCGGCGGGCCCTTCCTAACCATCCACTCCAACTCGATCGCTTGCTCCTCAGTTACCAACTCTCTAAATCTTTCTAGTGTCAAGAAATCATGATCCGAGTATTCAAAGCCTGGAATCACAGTCTAATCTACTTATTAGCATAACCTTCCTTTTGTCTTCTCCCTTTCTAATTTTCAATTTCTTTCATCTCAATTCCAGAAGAAGAAGAAGAAGAAGAAGAAGAAGAAGGCATATCATTGCCACTCACCTCACTAATCAATAATCCCTCCCCCTCTCCTCCATCTTTCTCCCCCAACATCAAAAACGTTCCCTTATATTTCCCACCCTCCACGACCCAACAGGCCCTCTCTCCCCTCTCAACATTATGACCCACAACAAACGTCTCAACTCTCTTCTTCCCCTCCACCTCCCCCTTAACATCCATCTCATCGGCATGAATTAAAACATACCTCCCACGCCCTTTAATCAACGTATGCACCGTCCTCCCCTTATTCCTGTGAAAGGCACCTAACGGAGACCGTGGGGTGAGGAGGTAGAAAATGGACGTCGATGCATTCCTCATCAAATCATCCCCGGATCTCGGGACTAGTGTTGTTCTTCCTGGGGCGATGTCGTCGGAGTCAGGGGGCGTGGGGGTCCATAATTGATTAGGGGGGGAGGACAAGAGGAAGGGATTTGGGATGATGAGGGGGTTGCGGTCGATTTCAGCGAAGTAGCCGCCTTCGATGTGTTTTTGTAGGTTTAGCGAGTTTATAAGGGAGGTTGTGGATGGGGATTCTGGTTGTTCTGCGGAAGATGTGTCGGGAGCATAGTGGGGTGTTAGGGGGGGGATGGAAGATTCTATTGATGATGAGGATTTGGGCATTTCGATTTGAATGATCTAGGAGGCGAGTGTGCAGGCACACACGTACGAACGTACGAACGAACGAATGAACGAACGAAACGTAGGGATAGGAGAAACCGGGAATGGAACAGAGCAGTAAGCTGTGGGCTGACCTATTTCTCTGTTTATATATTTATGCGAGCACACCGCGTAGCAATGGACCGCAGAAACGTGTAAGCATAGCGTACCCTTCTCACACAATTTTCGTCCGTATAAAGGAAAGGGGCACTGTGCGTGTGAGAGATTAGAGCCCTAGCTTCCGCGATAAGCCGTAGACGTATCTGACTCAAAGTGATGATAAAGCAATAATAGCGGACCGGGGTCAACCCACCGACACTCCTTGTGAGTTGGGTGCAGGGCGATGGCTCTGCACTTGATGTACAGTACGCATCTCACTCCTACCTGAGAAATATACAAGTAACGCAAGTAGATGTAGACATAATGCAGGTACACACGCGCCTGTGTCCGGCAACGCTATCTTCGCATTTGAATAAACTACATTAGATCTTAGGTTCTAGCCTGGTCATTATCGACAACCTTGGCATCTCATCCCCACCTACAAACCAGTTTGAGCGCCGCCTATATAATTGGTCCTCGAAATTGCATTCGTCCATCACTCTGAACATACATCGGCACTCATCTGTCTCCGCTATGCGCCTTGCAAACTCCTTCAAGGCCGACCCGAGGGTGATACTCCTAGCAAAACAACAGAACCCCAAAATGAAACAGTAGATGATGCGAAGCCAAGCAGAAAAGGAAGTATGGAATGAAAGGGCTTATATGATACAGGAAAGTGTTATAGGTATGAGTGAGTTGGTGAGCGGTGTGGATACGGACTGAAGGTCCGAAGCGGTCACCTTCCCTGTTCGACCTAAAAGCGTAGAGGAGGCCTCGAAGCTGGATACGAGAACTGTAATCCTTCTGCGCAACCTCTGCTTCTCACGTCCGGGTGTATGCATGCACTCCACCCCTCATATTTTACATGTACACCCCACCGAGTCCTGAAACGCACCATGAGATATGGGAACCCTCAAATCCAACATTTGACGAACTGATTCACAAAGTATCTTTCTATCACCACATATCATCATCCTTGCTACTTTGATCCGAGTCATCGTACCCGTAATATGATGGCTGTGAGCTGCTTTGGGGGTTCCCGTAACTTTTACCACTAGCAACGCTATATTGGCCATTTGATTGACCATAGGAGGAATGATGCGAGTCGCGAGGTTGCTGGGTATGTTGTGAAGCGCGGGAGTCGGGCCGATGCTGGGGATCTTCTTGGTGTGAAGGCTCAGGATTGGTAGGCTCTGTCTGGTTGTGGCTAGGTTGGCTGCTGCCTTTTTCTGACTGTTCCTGCTGCTGCTGGACATGTTAGCTGATTCCCAGGATTTCAAAAACCGAGCTCGCCTACCTGCTGATATCTTTGATATTGAGTGAACTCGTCCGGCTGATCCTTCTTTTGTTGCGCGGCTTGGTGTTGCGACTTTTGTGCTTGTTTCGAATTTCCAATCTGGATCTGTGGATGCATCTGCTGCACCTTGGCGAGGTACGAGTACATGAAATTACTCAATAGCACCTGAGAGTACAGCTCCCGTCGTGGATTCGCAAGCTTAATGTGCGCCATGCGGTAAATAGCCCGCTCTTCCAGGATCGAGAATCGAGTCCAATTGTAGTCGATATCAGGCTTAAGAATTCGAGGTGGTGGCTCCGGAGATAGGCCTCGCATGGAGCTCCCCTTCTTGTGGGATGACTCTTTCTCTGCTTTCTTCTTGCTACCGCCGAAGATGGAGGAAAACAATCCAGACTCCTTCTCTTTTTTAGAGTCACCACCCGATGATTTCCTGCTGCTTTCCTTCTTGCGTTCCTCCTCGAGTTTGAGAGTCTCTCGATCTAGAACCAAACTTTCCCGGCCACGGTTACCGTCTATTGAACTTTGCAGCACATCGAGCCTAGTATTGTCATGCCCCTTTTCCTGAGTCTTGCTCAATTTGTTCTTCACTTTCTTGGCCAACTCTTTCTCTCTCTCCTCCTTGTCTTTCTTCTCGCGCTCTTTCTCTTTATCGTCGCCACCCAACAGCCAGCCCCAGCTAGTTTTCCTTGAACCGCCCTCAGAACCATCTTTCCTGTCTTTCGTTTTCTTGTCAGACTTCCTGTCTTCGGCGAGATTGGGAATAATAGATAAATTGTCTGTTCTGGTGCTGTTGCCCGGGAGAGGCGATGGATGAGCTATTAGGTCGTCAAAGGTTTGAGCCGGCTTGATCGGAGAGCCCTGCCGTTGCATATTTTGCCTTGGAGATTGTCGTTGGTGAGGCTGGGATTGATTTTGGGCCCGAGGGGGAGTAGGTTGATGTTGGGCGTTAGACGGAGGTGGTCCTCTTGAAGAGTTCCGTTCTGGTAGTTGGATTTGAGATTGCCTCGGGGGCTCTTGGGGTGGAGGGGTCTCAATGATTTGCGGAACTTGCTGAGGTTTGTAGCCAGGAAGCGGTGCTGTCGTCCGGCCATTGGACGCAATACGGGAATGGAATGGCTTCGCCGGGTAGGAGGTTGGACGTTCTTCTGGGTCAGGGGTGTTAGAGTCTCGCATAGACACATCTTCTGCTGAGGTTGGTCTCTGAAGGCTGATAGGTGGTGACCGTTTCCGATGCGGGCGTGAGAAATTCTCTGGCGCGTCTGATCGAGGATGGATGGGCTCGGACTGCACCCTAGTGAGACCAAAGTTTGATAAATTGGGCTCCTTGGGGTGAGTGGGAGAGGTTGCCGGTGATTCCTCGGTGTCTGTTTCGGCCTGCCTTGCGACCACCCTCCTTGAAAATGGCACACGCTCGCCCTTCCGTATGCTTCCACGCCGATAATTGGTCCTAGTGGATCTTTTCAACGTTCCTAGTCCTGCTGGCTGAACTGGGAGAATTGGCATGTCTTCCCCTATTGGCATCTCACCGTCTGCAGAGCCAGGCCTTCGAGAAGCATCAATGCTCATGCGCCTCATTAACGTGGCCGGATCTTCAACCATATGCTCTAGTTCTTGGAGATTGGAAAGTCCTCCATTAGGTTTGCTAGCGCCTGATCTTTGCCTCTCCAGCCTCTCAGCGCCATCGCGGTATCCGTTTGGACCATCGATCTGCCTAGAAAGCATGGACTTCTTCCTCCGCAAGCCTCCCACAGACCCTTGGCGGCCGAGAGCGCCATCCGGTGACAATGTATCCGAGTCGCCGGACCGACGCCTAATCTTATCAACCTTCTCCTCGATGAAAGTTTTGAACTCTTTCGGTGCCAGCTCTGGGTGTAATCGCGCCGGAACCCAGAAGAGTTTCGAGGGGTCCTCATCTTCGGAGAAGTGCTGCGGAGCAACCGTGGGGATGCCAAAGGTCTTGAAGGAAGGAAGGTCGGGGTCAGACGCATGAACGTCCATGGACATGCGCCGTATTGCCTGCAGATTGCTCAATTCCTGTGCCACGGCCGCCGGGCTCGATTCGTAGTCGATGTCATTGAGCGGGAACTGCTGCGTGGCCGTGTCAGAACTTGTTCGGGATAACGTAGGTGACAAAGGCCCGTTCGGGCTGCTCTGTCCAAAAGAAGACTTTCTCGACGGTATGTTAAGGGAGCCATTGGGGCTGGATGCGGTGGGTGACCGTTCGCTCGACATTGCGGCGCGCAGGGGGGATTTCGGCGGAGCGACGGGGAAGGTGTCAAAGGGAGACTTCGGCGGCTCAATGTTGTCGCCCATCGGGGAACTGATGAAGCTTAAGGGCCGTGAATTCCGCTTTGCAGTGTAGTGATCGTCGCCATACATGTCACCAATGGCCTCGGTCACATGGTGATTATCATCACTTATTGATATTTGGGGGGCGTGGCCACGTCGACTCTGGTATACTCGCTCGAGCTCTCGTGCTCGGGTGGAGGCCTGCAGTGCAGGAGACGTGGTTAGCATCGCGAGTTACAACTTCGAAACTGCGCGAGGGGAGTGGGTGGCCGGGGGGGAGGAGATGATGTAGGAAATACGGGGTAGCGGGGGGGCCCCGAGCGGCATGAAAGCCTCCCAGGTGAATGTGCACTCACCTCCATTGTTGCGGGTCGTCTCGAGAGATGCGGAGATGCGTTGTGGCGACCGAGCCTGCTTCCGTGGCAGCACTAATGAGGGAACCGAGCTGATCATCGAAGGACGAGGCGGGCGGCAGCGGAACGAAGGGAGTGCGGAGGATCAAAGGATAAGAATATCATGTCCTGCCCAGGTCCCAGGAGGCGGGATATCAAGTGAAGGCTGTGAATGGCGTGCCTTTGGTGAGCACCGAAGCACAGAGCACGGAGGGTCGTGACCCAGGGCCTTTCGCTAAAGCCGACGCCGAGAAACGCCCAACCACAACCGCCAGTCGAGAGCAGAGAGCGGACAGCCAGAGGGACTGCCAGCCGACGAGAGCGGGTGCGCGTAGCTGGGAAGGCGACACGGCTGCTTTCCAAGTTTTCTGCACCTCGAGCCACCCCCTCCTTTCTGTGTGCATCCCTGCGCCCGCAAAACCAGAGCAGAAAATACGGATACAGACCCTCCAAGCCAGGATGTCGGTGGTCACGTATGGATCTGGCTTCCACGCGCCAAATCGCTGCTCTTCATCTCCCCCCGTTGCAAAAATAGCCAGCGTTCGGCCCCACAAACACGTCTCGTTCACTCACGCGTTGGACGCCGCACCGAAGCAACGATGGACCCTAGGGCTGTCATCTGCATCAAGCACATTCTCAACGCCCAAACTACTTGTCGTGGTCCGCCCCTGGTGTTCCGCTATAGAGTCGAATATAAGAGTATAAGCGCCTGTCCCAAAGCAGGAGTAGCATGTCCGAATTCGATAGAGGCGCCAGGGGTGCATCCAGGCGCGCCAGCGTTAATCGGCAGGAGCTCCTTGGCTTAAGGGGGCACAAAAGCCACCAAACACTCCTGAACTGACATCACTGCTTATAAACATCCAGCGCTTTGCAGGACGCTTCCTTGAACCATGGGCGAGTATTTACTCCTGAGTGACTTTGTTATCCGGTTACATCTACCTGCATCTAGACAGAGAGTCGCTTTTGTCTGCTTCGCATTCATGCACACGAAGAGGAGGATATATTATTTATTACACACTACTATCAATATCTGACTTGCTGCAGGAATGGCGAGACCCCGCCGTCTTTCGCCGATGCGCGCCGGGTCGCGTGTCTTGTCACTATCGCTGTCTATGAGAGGGGAGCCCTGTCGTGAATCATGATGAAGTTGAGATGTTGCGCTTCCAAATGAAACCAACGGATGCTGCTGCGCACACTATTGCGCCCAGCGCCAGGTACATGTTGAGAGAGTCATAAGGTTCCTCCTCTTGTTTGGGGAAGGCGGTTGAAGGGTAGGTGGCACATTCTGCTAGCTGCGCGGATGGTCAGCTTGGGTTAGGAGTGGATAGACGGTGTACGTACGTGAACGAACAGTTCCGATATGCTACCCCAAGTCGCACTGACGTGTAGTGGTGCTGCCATATTGAGTGCACTTGTGTACTCGTCAGGCTGTTGTTCACATCTCTGCATAGTCTTGTCCTGGTCCGCTTTCAAGGCCGTGTAGACAGCAGGGAGGTCGTCGAGATGGGGATATTTCCTCCTCAACTCGACAATGTGCGCGAAGCTGTCCGGTTCGCTGGAGTCATAGGTGTAGCAGAGGAGATCGCAAGCATCCAATTTAGCCTGGTTCTCCAGGATAGCTGGCTCCAGTTCCCCAAGCTCCTCGAGGATCAGGTAGCACTGCTTGCCTCCCTTTAGTTCAACGCTGTTGACTGCAGCGCGAGGCTTGATTGTCGGATGGTACGTGTGTATGAAGGGCCGTTGCAGGAAAGCCGATAACAGGGCGCTCTTCCCGCTTCCACTGGCGCCCAGGACGTAGCACAGGAACACGGTGCGTTCTACCCTGCCCGGACGGTTCCGTCGTTTCCGAGCTTTCGTGACCTTGAGAGCAGTTGTTGTACCGCCTCGATCGGCGCTCTCGAAGCCGAGGTATGCTAGGTACTCGAGCGTTGTCTTTGGCTCCTCGAACGTCGTCATGCTCCATTGCGCAAGCCAGCCCTGAAGGGTGATGTGTCCAGCCTCGTTCCGCACGGTGCAAGATGGGAAGGCAGAGTCTACCCAAGACGGCGGAATTCCGGGAGTAGGTGCAAACAATGCAGCAAGCTCGGAGTTGTTTAATCCACCATCATTATCCTTATCGAACAGCAAGAAGAGGTCGACGAAAAATCTGTATCCGGCTGGACTCAGTTCGGCCGAGGAATATTGAGGGACGTCAAATTTGGGCCGTAAGAACGTGTCTCGAAGGCTGAGGCTGTCGGTGTACTGAAACTTCCTAAGAATGATCCAGATTGTCTCATGGCGGCCCTTTTCAGCGAAGATCTTGTTCAGCAACAGGAAACCCTTTTCATCCATCCCTCTGTCGCTGACAGAACCAGGCATGAATCGCTGAATCGACCGTTTGATGTTTGAGAGGTCGTCATCTGCTAGCGGTTTGTCAAAGCATTTGAGTTGGAAGTCGTGGATTTCCTGGTCATTCCAGTAACCGTCCTTGTCTTTGTCGCAGAGGTGGAACACCCGCTGTAAAGCAGACACGGCGGCGGGTTTTAGCGCCGCTTCCTTGGAGTCATATAGAGGAGCTATGGGGTGGGTGACGGCCTTCTGGCATAGAAAGAAAACTTCATTGATGTTGTGGTGTTCCTTAGCGCTTGTGCGGATGCAGGAGTCGATTTCCTTGAATTCGTTCATGACCGGCAGCATCTCGTCCACCACCACCTGGGATGTAGTTCCATTCGACTGCAGATCCGACTTGTTTGCACAGAGCACTACGGGCACGTTCACTCCGAGGGAGCGAAAGTACGGCATCCAGAACAGCGCCACGCGCTCATAGCTATAATGGTCCGAGTATACTAGTAATATGGCATTCGACTTCCGAAGCTCTTTCCGCAGCGCATGGCGTTCATGCGGCAGTGCAGAGGTATCGACGATGATGGTCGTGACATTGTCCGGCGTGCCGAGGGTTGGTGGGAGGGTTACCTGCGGAAGGACGGGTTGGATCTTGGTGGTGACAAAGACATCCTTGACGAGGGAGGTGATGATAGAGCTTTTGCCTACTCCTTCATCGCCGCATATGCAAATTCGGACTGCGGACTGTGAGCGATGCTGAACACGAAGGAAGCGACGGAGGAGCGCAGTCATACCAGTGGCCATAGCGAGGATGCATGCTTAGAGGCACATTTCCAGCAGCATGTGTGTCAGCAACGATGATTCCAAGGCTCTACCCAGATGTTTCAAGCGCAGCACGGTGGGCTCCCTCCGGTGATGGTCCGCTGTTTGCGAGGCGGGGAGGTGCGAACGATGAAGCAGCAGGAGCCATTGACGAACTGTGAAATGCTTGGCGCACGTGGGGTTAGCAAGGTTGTTCTCTCTCGATGCGCCCCACCAGATTGGCCGCTGGATCTGTGAATGAGCTAATGATGCCTTCCCTCAGGCCTGGGATATCCAGCGCGGGCCTCATGCGTCCGCTATCTCCGTCGCAGCTTGGACTCCAAGCAGCGCTGCTTGCATTTGTGCGAAGAGCCTCGAGTGTTGGCCGTTGGCAGGCATCCAGTGCTACAAGCGGCCCCCCGAGCTAGCCTCTGCACTCTCTCCAGGAGCATCGGTTGATGTTCCCGGAGGCGCTTCCTTCGCCGGCCCTGCTCCCTTCATCGCGCACACATAACTACCCATCCCTCGCCTGCCCTTCTGGACCCCCGTCCATTCACTGACCCGTTGTCCTGGAATCCCCCAATGTCCTCAGTGCCCTGTTAGCCGGCCTTGCCATCTGGCCGTGACATGCACAAGAGGGTTGCTCGTTGATTGCGTCTCGTCTCGCAGCATATTGCACCGCATCTGCCATGTTGTGAGTATCCCACTTCTGCTGACCGCCCTCCCCACACACCCAATCACACTCCAGTCATGCCACTTCTGCACGCCGAAGCCTGACTGACATGTCCCCAGCGTACTCCCTCCTCCGCCGAGATATCCTGCGGGTGGCTACCCAGGCGCGCCTGGTGGAGGGCCACTTATCGAAACAAACAATACTCTCACTCACCCCACGGGACCCGAGCACCAATTGGTCGTCGGAGAAGGTATTCTCCCCTCATTCACATCCATGCTGCTCGCAGTCTTCTCACTTCAGGACCATGATAGGCACGTATGTGCTCAGAGACGACCTCCATCTAGCTACGCCGCCACCGCACCCGTCTGAAGCCCCCGTCCACAACCCGAACCCGCTCGCCACAACCGTATCGCCGCCCACCGCGGGGACCAAGCTCTCTGTCGTCGTCATTGCACCACGCCAACAATCCTACCAGCGGTTATACCGCCTCGACACTACAAACAGTACTCGGTCGCAGGTGCCCCCGAGTATCCAAGAGAGCCCGCACGAGACAAACAGCCAGGCTAGTGATGCCGGCTCTCACAGTGCAAATGGGGTGACGCCATTTGAAGGACTTCATGCGCCTGCCTTTGGGGAGGGGAATCCCCTGTTGTCGATAGTGAACGGAAAAGACGCTAAAGACCCGCTAAAGCGGCGGAAGCCCAAGAGTAACATTGTCAAAAGCAATTCTAGCTTCGTATCGAGGGTTATTCCCCACGAAGCTTTGTCAAAACGCTTACAGGAGCACAACCCAAATGGCCTGTACGCCTTCGCCAACGTTAATAGGGCGCTACAATGGCTAGACCTTTCCTCCCCTACGAAGGTTGCTTCATCCTTGACTCTTGACTCCATGCAGCACAAGTCTAATATGTGGTGCAGGAAGAGCACATGACCAAGATTCTATTCACCAAGGCACATGCCCTTTGCCATGATGTGAACCTAGTCACAAGGGGGCCAAACCATATAGATATGATAATGGGCTTCTCCACTGGCGATATAATATGGTATGAGCCTATGTCACAAAAATATGTCCGCATCAATAAGAATGTAGGTGAATCCGGGACGTGATGGTGAGTAGTTGACTCGGCTAATCACACCAGGGAGTGATAAATGGAACTGCCGTATCAGATATTCGATGGCTACCTAACAGTGAGAATCTCTTCCTCGCAGCTCATATGGACGGGAGTCTGGTCGTCTATGACAAGGAGAAGGAGGATGCACTCTTTGTTGCTGAGGATCAAGCAGCGACTGGGGAAGTCGCTCCAAATGAGAAGGAGCGGAAGGCGGCACTTGCGGTGAAGAAATCAGTGAACTCGAAAAACCAAAAGACTAATCCTGTGTCGTACTGGAAGACGTCGAACTCGAAGATTAATGCTTTCGCCTTTTCCCCAGACTGCCGACATGTGGCTGTTGTCTCAGAGGATGGCTCGTTCAGGATAATCGATTTTCTCAGCGAACAGTAAGTGCGTCTACACAGCCATCAGATCCGACGCTTACCTGCAGCAGATTACTGCATCTCTATACGAGCTATTATGGGGGCATGATCTGCGTCTGTTGGTCGCCCGATGGCAGGTATATTGTTACTGGTGGCCAAGACGATCTGGTGTCCATTTGGGCGCTCGAAGACAGCATGCTCGTGGCGCGGTGTCAGGGACATAACTCGTGGGTTACGGCAGTGGCTTTTGATCCTTGGCGGTGTGACGAGCGCAATTATCGGATTGGTAGTGTAGGAGAAGATTGCCGGTTGTTACTTTGGGACTTCAGCGTCGGAATGCTTCATCGGCCCCGAGCGGTAGGTCGCCATTTCCCCCTGTGTCGGAAGAGGAAAGAATGCTGACTAGTCTGGAATGGAGGCATCGGTGAGACAGCAGCGCGGCAGCATCACCTCAGCCACGCTGAAGATGCAGAAGAGCCGAGCTGATGGCTCCACAACCCGGCTCCGATCCAATTCGAATCTCACAACGGCGAGCTTGGATGAGGATGAGATTGTGCATCCGGTCGAACCCCGGGCGCGCACGGCGATTCTGCCCCCTGTTATGGTAAGAGGTTCCTAGAAGATATTCCCTTAGGCATTGGGTTGCTGACGGAAAGAATCTCGCAGGCGAAGAAGGCCGACGACCATCCTCTGTGCTGGCTTGGGTTTGAGGAGGATTGTATCATTACATCGTGTAGTAACGGTGAGTGCAGAAAATTTTCTAGTGTTCTAGAATTAAGCCTAGTTTGGGCCGATAAGATTAAGCATGTGCCATGAGCTTAAGCGCAGGAACACCCGCCTGGCGTAGTACAAGAAGACAGCCCGGTCAAAGCGCTGATGGAACTGATAACTGATAACGGCGATATCTGCAGGTCATATCCGCACCTGGGATCGACCCAAGGAGGGTGCTGGGAGCGATGATGACGAGCCCTCGACGACGTCTACAAGCGCGAGTGCACCGGCTAGCAGCGCATAGTGGAGGGAGGAGGTACTTGGGACGGGGGTACTTGGTGCCAGCGGGCACTGGTGTTCGCAAAGATGCGGTCAGAAGAAACAAGTTTCTCGTCGCATTCCTGGTGACTGGGATCGGCCTGTCTAATCCGGAATGTTCCGACTCACATGGACACTGCACTTGTCATCCAGCCCTACGCTGACTTACATGTGTCCATCTCTGTAGCATACAACAAGGCAGTGCCGTTTGGTGGTTGCGGACTGCAAGTGTCCAGCGGACAGCCTCAAGCGGCACTGGCGCAGTAGATAGAAAGGAGATGTGCGTCGTTTGAGATAGGACCAGCAGTCCAAACAAGGTGCGGCGGCGGAACATCGGGCGAGCGACATCGCTGAGCCGTGAGGATCCACATGCACATGCTGCATCAGTGCGGCAATCGGATATAACTCCTCAACCACGAGCAGCCGTGCATCTTCTTGGTATCCGCATTAATTCCCGCCTCGGCCCGAGCATGAGGCATCGATATTTCACCTGCAGTGCATTTCACTGCTAGGCGACGACGAGGCTGTCGTGTCACGGAGAATTTGGCGCAGTCCAACGGTGATCCATATCGGATTGCCGTATCCAGCGCCGGGACTCGGGACAACAACGCTGCGATTGCATCAGTCGACCAGGACGATAATGTGCATCACGCTATCACGCCGTTCGCTGGTGTGCTATCGGTAGACATTCTTTGTGCCGCTGAATCCTGCCCTCTCTCAAAGAAAAATCTTAGACCCGCAGAAGCCACTAGCTAGCCGCAATCATGACGGCCCATCAGGCGCCTTGTGAGTCCGCAGTCCCTGGCCCTTCTGGCGTACATCCCACGCGACTACTATATTTTCCCTGGTTGTTCAGCTGCGAAGGCGTCGAATGACCGTGCCTCCCACTCCGCTCTGCTGCATCTCGCCCTAGACAGCCTACAGCCTTCTCTTTCACTCAAACAAGCGTCAGCCCTCAGCCACCTCTCACCCCATCCCACACCCCAGACCGGCCAGAATTGCGAAGCCGAACGCCAAAGGCGCGCTCTGGCTTCCACTCGTTCTGCGGTACATATACCCAGCCGGGTGTGCCGCCTTTCCAGGCCTGCGATGCTCTTGTTCTTTTGGAGTGCTTGTTAGTTCTTTGCAACCATGCCCCGATCCGGAGGAGTCTTTGGCGGGAACTCGAAGCCGGTCCTGGAGATCAAGTACGGAACACCTTCATATTACTCACTGCGGCCTAAGAAGTAAAGTATGAAAGGCTGACTTCCTGTCCAGGCCGCATTCGCCGTTCGTCGTCTTCTATGGAGAGCCGTCCGAGTCACAAAATGCCGAGCTCACGGGAAAGCTCGTCCTCACTAACCCGGAGTCAATGTCCGTCAGGAGTATCAAGATGACCTTGTCAGGGATGCGGAAAGTCTCGTAGGTACTCCTTCACCCACGAGAGAATTGAGCGTGCCAGCTGACCGTGTCCTGCACAGATGGAGCACGACCACCACCGTAACACCGCAGCCAATTCTCTCCAAGCGCACTTTCCACCGGGAAGACCTCAATCTGTTCCCCGCTGACGGTTCCAAGAATAAGGCCCACAAGATCAACGCTGGCGTGCATGAGTGGGACTTCAAGTTCAAGATGCCTAGTACACTAGAGGAGAGCGTTGAGGGATTGGGAACCAATTGGATTGTGTACAACCTCAGTGCAACAGTGGACCGAGGCTACATAAGCAAGCAGCTCTGCGCTACCCAGCACATTCGAGTCATCAGGACATTGGGCCGCGATCTCATGGAGACCGTGCCCATGGAACAGGTATGCTATATATTGCTTTCTCTAGGGGACACCCTCCTAACGTGCAATTTAGATTAACGAGGACATTTGGGCTTCCAAGTTGGCCTACAAGATCACCGTGCCACAGAAAAATTATATTGTTGGGACCACAGTAACGGCAGACTTCGTCCTGATACCCCTGCGCAAAGGAGTGGAAATATCGACCATCAAAATGGAGCTCATAGAGTCGCGGCAGCTATTTTCGGACTACGCTGGACGCCGAATAAGCCATCAGCACGATATGGTCGTCGCCCAGGTTGAGGGTCATATGCCCCCTAACTCCGCACACATAGTTCCGAGTGGTGTCGAAGATGCCGACCAGCTGTTTGATGAATCACACCGATTTTCAATGAGTCTGGATCTCCCCAAATCGTTGAAAAATTGCAGACAGTCTGTGGATACCGAGTACATTCGACTCTCCCATAAGCTCCGACTGTACGTCAATTTGCACAACCCAGAAGGACACACGAGTCAGCTCTTGGTCAAGAACCATTTGCATCTCTTTATCTCGCCGAATCTGCCGCCAAACGAAGATCAGAGTGTTGTGGTTGATCACAACATTATTGCTTCGGCAGCAATGCGCGATGAGGTCAATCAGAACGCACCCCCAACGTACGGTCTGCACCAGCTAGACGAGCTCTACAACGACATCGACCCCAGCGGTTTCATGACTCCTGGTGCGCGCGGTAGCTTAGGAAACAGTGGTGCAAATACACCATTTTATGCGCATAGTCGATCGGGTTCAGCAGAAGATCTGGCTTCACTAGACGCCGTAGCACATGAAAACGGCGAAGGTGCCTCAGCAACAGTGCTCCACTCTCGACTACACAACCTCAGCATGAACGAAAGCAGTCGATCCACACGGCTCGCTGCAAATCGGCATCACTCGTCCGGCGGAAGCACACCGCACAGCGGGACAGACGAAGCATACCGCCACGCTCTATCATCCCAGAGTCATTTTTCTAGTGCCGACGACTTCCAGCCTGAATATGACATGGAAGCGTTAGCGCGGACCCCATCTTACAACACTGCTGTACGGACTCCAGCTCGGACTCCCATTTCAGAAGACTTGCCCACGTACGAGATTGCAACCTCCAGGCCATCAAGCCCGGCCAGGACTGCTAGAAGTGGACTGACGACTCCATCACCAGCGCGAAGCCTAGACACCCTAACGGAAGAAACAGAGAGAAATACGCAGATGAACTCGAGGAGAGCAAGTCCGCGGCCGAGCCCACGGATGAGTGACGAAGGAAGGTAATTAGCCCCTCCAGCTTCGACAGAGCCCTTTCTTTTCCATTCCACCCCATTTCTATTTTCCCCCCAACCCACAGATTTTCACTCCTTTTTCCCTTCCGTTGCGGCATTCTTAGCAGAACCCACGGCTTAGTCCTTCTTCCCGGCGTCAGTCTTAGATCAGATTCTTCGTCGTCATCTACTAGCATCACATCCGCGCCCTTACCTTCCATCACACAAACACCACCGGCATGCCCACCGCAAGAACCTTGCCAGAGCACCAGCTCTACATCTACAGGTTCTAAACGATCGCCACTTCTCCTTCATCATCGAACCGAACAGAGGGATACGCTTCATCCTGTTTCTGCACTCAGACGTGCTTTGCTTGGGACGAGGAGGAAGAGTATTAGCTGAAGCTGAATCATCGGCTGCTCGCTTTGCAGCCAGGTTTTCATTTTCTCTTTATGAGGCGTTCTTTGGATTGGTGATTATAGTGCGGGATGCACCGGGGGGCTTTTCCAAGCATTTGTTATGCGCAGCATAAGCAAAACGTCACGGCCGAATTATTAGAAGAATGATTGCGATTGCATTAATCAAATGAGCAATGGGATAGTAGTAATATTGGGCGGTATCAGTCAGTTAGATTGGGAATCACGAATTCGTCCGTGAATTGGACCGAAAAGAAGTGAAATTCACATATCTTTTGTGGAGCAGCACAGCAGCGTGCAGGACAGAAGGAAACTAGTGGACTATTGGAGTGAATTGGATTGTATCACTATAGTAGATACCCCCTCATCATCGATAACCTATCAATGAAAGCAGACAGAAGTGGTTAACTCGGGAATTCATTTGTTTTGGCTGTTCAATTATCCTGAGCACTTGCTTGAATTTTAGACCGTACAACAATCATCAATCATCAGTTATCAAGAAGTGGGTGCAACCGGCACCTTGGAGAAATTCCCCCTCCACATGTTCAACAATGATACACCACATGCAGAAATTTGAACCTCGATTGCTTTGAAACGAATTGCATGTGAATCCCTCCACGTCAGCGCAAACGAGGTGATTCACGATCTGGAAGAGAGATCTCACGATGTCTCTCCACGAGTGCCACATGCTCGCACTTGTTCCCCAAATGAACTTCTCACTCGTGTTTCAGCTGTCACTAGCTCCACATACCCCCTTCAGCTGTGCTGAGTCACGTGTGCTGCTACTAATTGCACCCCAATACATATTTACATACATTCCGCATTTCCCGTATCCAGCACGGAAGCTCCAACGATGCTTAGCCAGGTCACCAGTCTGCATGCGTCAGTGGTACTGTAGTCATACCTCAGCCTTACCACATCTCTGTGCTGGATGTTTACTGTTGGAGGCTGCGACCGGGGTACGTGGCTCTCGTACCCCGGTCCTTCCGCCTGCTTCCGCTTCGTTGGATGCTGATCGACGACCGGGCCCGCGGGGATGGGCATTGCGCCGCGTTGGGAAGCGGGCTGTGTGCAATGAGTCGTGCGGCGTGCGTGGGGTGTTGGCGCATGAGGGCTCGGTTGCGGGTGTCGGGTGTTGATGGCGTCTTTGCGGGCCGACTTGGGTGCCGGCTTGGAATTTTGTTCACCGGTGTGTGTAGGTGGTTGTGGTAGAGCAGAGCATGTGAGGACGAGGTGTAAGCGAAGCGAAGTGTTCGCTGTCTCGTACGAGGGGGAATTTGAACGGGGTCCCGGCAATCCCCAGTTCATTAATGCTCGAACAAGAATCCAGCAGCGAGTTCGACATTTCCATCTGTTGCATTCAGTGCGGCAATCGCTTCTTGTTTCGAGAATCCTAGAACGACGAGATTGTTGACAGTTTCTTCAGGCCAAGGCGCAGGTGCGTCAGGGAGTGTCGTAACCATCTGTCGAATCTGGTCCGGGGTGACGTTGAATTGGGGCCGCGAGGTTTGCGGATAGGGAGGATTTTCGACGCGGAGTATACGCCCAAGAGCTGCCACCCATCCCGCTTGGACGGTCTCGTTGTTGAGGTCTAGCGATGCAACTTCCACAATATCTTGGTCGTGGTCACCCGAGTTGAAGTACTCCCACCCCATGACCCCACCGAACCCCTTTCCTACATTCTTGTATTTATCGCGCAGTCTCCCAAGCACATCTCTCAGTTTCCCTATCCCAACGTGGCCAGCCCCATTCCCGGGATTGGTGACGACCCCCATGACAATCTTCTCTGGCTTCCAGCCCGCTGCAATGATGGCTTCGTACCATTGCGTAGAACTTGCATCTCCCCATCCACAATAGAACTGCGTATTATACCACGAGATCTCCCGGCCAGCAACACTACACTCTAACTCCGGATAACTAAACCCACTCAAATGCGGTAGTGTCGGGTGCAGTGGATTTGGACGGGGTCCGCCCGCCAGCACCGGTCTCGGCGGCCTCAAGTGTGCCGGAATATTCGGATCCGGGATCAAGGCTGTCGCAACGGGTGCCATTGTGATTAGAAACTCTGGCCCAAAGTCCGATCTTAGTCTGTGGACGAGCCGCGTAGCCGTGTGCAAGGGAACTTCTTCTTCGACGTCGAGGTCCAGTCCGTCGAGCTTGTATGTCGAGATGAAGGAATGCAGGGGTGTGTAGTATGCGTCGAACTGTCCGTCCATTAGCCAACACCGCCGACACACTTCGATCTCACATACCGCGTCCTCGGGGCCTGTTAATCTTTCATAGGATCCCTTGGCGGCACCGCCTAGCATGCCCAGGACCTTGATTCCGGAGCCTTGGAGCCATTTGACTTCGCTCCAGAGGGTGGTGAAGCGTGCGTCGGAGGGGGGGTGGTCGTTGAGGGTGAGGTTGGAGGGGTCGGAGTTCAGATGGATAGCCGCGATGATTACGTGAGTGACGCCGGTATTGTTGGTAATGAGAGGCAGGAGAGAGTGGTAGTTGCCGGCAGAATCATGGAACGTTTGCGCGTAGACAATAACACGTGGACCTTGGTTCGGCAAGAGAAACTTTGGGGGTAGAGGAGGCATTGGGAAAGTGTTGGGTTGTTGAAGTTCGGACGGAGGGGAGCTTCATGGGAAACACCTGCTGTGCCCCACGCACGTTGGACAAGGTAGTGGGGGCCGACGTGGGGGTTGCTGATTGGCAGCGTCATCTATTTGCAGCACCAGAAGCGTTGTATGTTCCACTCATCGGTAAAGAACATAATACGACATGTATACACAAGACAATCGATTGCCCGAATGGCCCTCTAACCCCGAAGTCCCAATGGATGTCGAAAAAGCACATATGAAATCACCAGGCTATGAATTGCCATGAACGCCGACACTGCTGTTCACAAGTGTCCTGTCCCAGCCCTCCCTTTGATGCCAACACTTCCCAAAACAAAGGAAAAGGTCTAGCACTAGACAGTAGCGAGTGAATCCACATCTCATCTGCGCTAGATGTACTCACTTTAAACTCTATTGCCGTGGTTTCGTCCCCAGGGACTCGGGAACTAATAGCCATTACCATAAATGCCATTGATCCCGGTAAAGTAGGGATGTTGGACGGCCTGCTTCGCGGAGATTCGCCCAGCCGGATCGTACACAAGAAGGGCCTCGAGAAGATCCAGGCCCAGGTCATCTAGCGTGGTTACGGTATTTGCAACATCTGTTCGCTGCCACTTGGGAAATGAAGGCTTGAAGTCGGGGAAGGAGGTCACCCCAGGCCAGTCCCCCTCCGTTGGCGTCCCGAGAATGCTATCGTTTGTTAGCGCCGTCCTTGCTAGACACTGTAGGATCACATACCGGAAAATCTTGAATATCTCGTCAATTTCCGAGTCCCCGGGGAATAAAGGCTTGCGCGTGCACATCTCCGCAAAGATACACCCCACAGACCACATATCGACGCCAGTGGAGTACTGCCTACCACCAAGCAAGATCTCGGGAGCACGGTACCATAGCGTGACAACCTGTAGGATATCAGCCAAAGCCCTAAACATGCCGATACGTTCTAGTGCTCACCTCATGAGTATACGTCCTCAATGGCACACCAAACGCCCTCGCCAAGCCGAAGTCAGCCAGCTTGAGATTGCCTTCCTTATCGATTAAGAGATTTTGCGGCTTTAAATCGCGGTGAAGGACCCGGTGAGCATGACAGTACCGGATGCCCTGGCACAGTTGCGTCATGAATTTCTTGACCATGTCCGGACCTAGGCCCAGGGTCGACAAGGCGGGACCGGATCCCTCGGGCAAAGCCTTTCCGCGGCCACCCTGACTGACTGGGAGAGCCTCCATGTACTTCTTGAGGTCGAGATCGAGATATTCGAAGACAAGGTAAAGCTTATGACCATCGGCATGGACAATGTTGAACAGGCGGACAATGTTCGAGTCGTTCATTTCCTTAAGGAGGGAGATCTCACGGATGGCAGTTGAGGGGACACCTTCGTCTTCAGCTTCAAGGCGAATCTTCTTCAGGGCGACGATTCGGTGGTCTTTAGTCGTGAGATCTCGAGCCTTGTACACAACGCCATATGTACCTGTACCCTAGCATCAGTACTGTTCACAATGTGGCTTGGCAGCTATTTTGGAGAGCGAAGAGAAAGAGGAATGGGTCGCCTTACCCTCTCCAATCTTCTCCATCTTCTGGTAGTTTTCCATGGTGACTGTTGGTGGGAGAAGGCAAGGGGGTGAAGGGAAAGGTGCACTCGACTAGCGCTGCTCCGGAAACACGACTCGGTCGAGACGAGGATACAGGAAGAATTGAAAGGTCCTATGGATCTTGACCAACTTGAACAACGAGTGAGGGACCTTATATAGTCCTGCTGGTTAGTATCTGCTCCTGCGGTGGAGTGTTGGGCGGGGGACGAGTCGGCGGTGTCAATGTTGTGCATGAAAACATCGGCGCACGGAGCAGATCCCCGGCCCAGCGCGAATTGGGCCAAGCGCCACAACGCGACCTTAGTCAGCGCCACCCGCGATCTCATGATGCAGTCCCACCACCGGCGTCTGAAAATCAACACTCCATCAGATCTTTTGTCGCCGTGAGAGTTCAGGTCACAAGTGAACTATTCTACTATTTTGAACTAGGCATGATCCAGCCAGGGCAGCTCGACCCGTATCAGCGCCCACCGGACAATATTCGAAATGTCTACAAGAAGTACCAGAAGATGAAGCCCAAAGATCTAGAAAAAGACCCCAATATCCTGGACATTGGAATAGGGCCATCAGCGGCTCAGTGGAATGGCCTCTCTATCATAGCAGAGTTTGAGCCCTCGCGATTGGAGCGTGTTTTCCAATCCTTTGCCAGCCCCACTCAAGGTCACACATATTTTGATGCATCTGTCCCAATATACGAGCACAAGGACATACCAGGTAATAACACCTCCCTTCCTCTGAGTATAGCGGCGGTAGGAATCTTGCACTCTTCATCATCCCAAGGCTTAGTCTCATCAACTTTCCAATTGTACCTGCACAGGCATAGTCTGATCTATTGTAGGTCTTCAAATCATTCCTTCTCTTCTCCCCCCCGAAGTACAGGTCATGCTTCTCTCTAAGCTCCTCCATAGAGACCTTTCCAATCCAGCACATTTGACGAACATTCACACGCACTATAAAATCACCTATCCCCCTGAATCTTCATTCTTCTCCCACTCTCAAAAATCCTCCAATTTTGCCGCTACCCCTCTGGAACCTTCTGTTCATCGTCCTCTTACGGTTGCACAGCTCTTGACTCGCAAGGTGCGATGGATGACTCTTGGTGGGCAATATGACTGGACCAAGAAGCGTTATCCAGACTCAGTGCCCCCCGTATTCCCCTCCGATATTAAGGAACTTCTAGAGGGTATCTTTACGGATACTAAGGCAGAGGCTGCAATAGTGAATCTCTATTCGCCAGGCGATACACTCAGTATGCACCGCGATGTTGCAGAGGAATGTGACAGGGGCCTAATCAGCCTGAGTCTTGGTTGCGAAGCTGTCTTTGTCGTCGGAGCCACGAGCAAGGAAGGCCAAGAAAGAATCTTAACACTAAGATTGCGATCTGGGAGTGCGGTATACATGAGTGGGAAATCTCGCTTTGCTTGGCATGGGGTGCCGCAGATTGTTCCGAATACCTGTCCACGTTATCTCCAGGACTGGCCAGCAGATGATGCGACTGGACAGTATGAGGAGTGGAGGGGTTGGATGAGCGGGAAACGGGTGAATGTCAATGTAAGGCAAATGTGGGAATCATAGCGAAGAGCTGCATACGCTGTACAATTCCCCAAGGAGACTTTATACAAGCGTATATGTGGCAGGCACATCCATACACTAATACGTGCCCACAAAGCTTAATTTACCTCAATCGGGAATCCTTCCGCCACAAAGACAAGCCTTTTAGTGCTGGAATCAATGGCAAACCTTAAATACCTGGAGGGTTTCCAGAACAGGAAGGTTAATAGGGACAATATAGCTTAAATATTGAAGCATCGCTTGAAGCAGAAGAGACCCAGCTTTGTTTCACATCGTTCCGGGGATGAATCTTTGTAATGCCTCGCACATTCCTTGGCATGGGGTGGAGTCGGGACGTACCTATCCATGGCGATATACTTCACGAAAGAACTCCTTCCTTAACGTAACCTCCACTCCGATGTAAGAAACACCTGGTGTGCTGAAACGCACCCTAGGTACTCTGAACTTTAAGCATGTTAGGATTCATGCACACATTATCTTTTTATGTTGTTATGTTCAATATACCCTATAGCCCCTCTGTCGTACTTAGCACCCTTCCTCACTGAAAATTACCCCGGTATGGCCGTCCTATTGCTTAATATCCGGAGAGTGCGCGTTGATGCCGTAATGGAAAAGTCTCCGATACACTAGCATCACTATCTTTTGTCACTTTTTGTAACCAGGCCAAGCCACTAGCTACTTGTCCCTGTGCCCTCGCTATGTGCCATGGCTGCCTCTAGAGGCTCCATATCAATACAACACATTTCCGCCGCACCCCACCAGGCTTACACTTTTGAAATATATAAAAGGAGTTTATCTAAGTCATAGAATCTTATCATATATAGTGCTAGGAATTTATGATCAATAATGTGCGGAGTGTAGGAGGTAAATTCTCCATGCGAGTTTCAAATAAATTCAACAGTTCGTCGCATTATACTATCCTTATGCAACCATTAATTCATTTAACAAGTTTACGGCTCTTCGTCGTCTAACATCTCTTGGATGGTGGGAGCATAGGTCGGACCCGCAATTTGAGGGTACCACAGCTCCGCACACTTGAATTGCAACAACACAAAAGGGCTCCATCTTGGATAGCATTCTTTTGCACGTGATCTACGGATTAGCGTGGGGATATGGGTCCTGAGTCACACTATTAACTTATTCAGAACTAGCGCCTGCCTTGTGAAGACTAGCACTATTTTAGATGCTATATATTCACCTTAGAACTCCTTCCCGCTCCTCAGAACTTACACTACTACTCATCTACATAATTTTGGCTCTCACCACCTAATTAACGCTTCGCCTCTTTTCTCTATCAAGCAGCTCTATGCGTGCAATACTTCCCATCACCCTTCTGCTGAGGCTAGTCACATTGGTTGTGGCTGGCTTTGATGAAATTTTTCATAAAGGCGGAGATAACTGACTACCGCGTGAATGCAATCAGGAATGACCTTTTCAAGGAGGATATTTCATATGATGCTAGTTTCCCATGAATTTGGAATATCTCGTTCAGTGATTGCCGCAATTAATACCGCACATACTAATGGGAAGTCAAATCCCGTCAGTCTCTTCTTGACTATGCAGAGCCCTCGCCCCCCGTATTTCGAGATTTCTGGACCGATTTGACCTCCTTGTGCTTTTGCGGATATTTCGAAATGGAGATACCGGCGAGGACGAAGATGGAGAAGAGGTTGTGGAGTCTGGGCGCCGGCGTTTTGGAGATGGCTGATGGGATTGGCAGCTATCCAAAGGTTCATCATCGTATGAAAATGGAAATCGACGGCCATTAGGCGATCCAGAGGTTTGACTGCATTTAGAGGGTGATAAATACTTAGTGCACGTTGAAGGTAGGGAGAGATTTCCATGTTGGTCTGCAATTGATGAGCATTGCGGAGTGGTAAACCCTAGACTGCAAGAATTCTCGTTCCATTGTCGGCTGCATACAGAGAATGCGTCCTCGTTAATGAAAGCACTCAGATTTTGGTCCGATCTGGCATCCTGGTACGGGTTGCCTTTGCCTTGGGGTATTTGGGTGGAGCCTTCGTCCACCCTTGTGTTTGGAAAGCTACTATCGCTAAGGCTGGAGGAATACTGTATTAAGCGAAGCTGTCTCTCCAGTCTGTTGCCTAAATTTTTCAGAATCGGCTCCTTGTCCTTTTTCAATGTACACGCCATATCCGCCAGGTCCATTCCTTGCGGGATTTCTGATATAAGCATCTCAGGCATTTCTGTCGTGGTGAGGCACGCAGCTATGAGCGCTGCGCAGTCTAGGAGATACTCCTTCTCGTTTATGCTACCCATATGAGTGATATGAAGTTCTTTGGCTGGTATAACTGGGTCTAAGCTAAAGAGGTTCTCGGCGAGCACCCTATCTTTCTTAGCATCAGACTCAGCGGCTGCCAGAGTGTTTAGCTTGGAGACATCATGCACCTCTAGCTGAGGAAAAATATGCTTCACTATAAACTTCCATGGGGAATAACCGAACTGGAAGCTCCCAAGTAATGCGGCACTGTCAAGCACATGGAGCAGAATTTCGACGCGAACATGTAGCGCTATCTTCTGTCTCCATTTCGGGTACACCCAGCTTTGCAGAGCATATAGCACCATGGCCGTTTTATCCTGTTTTTGGGAATGTCGATAGTAGTTCTGAATTAGGTATCGGGAAATCCCCATTTGGGCTACAAAACTGAGGATGCTTGCTGATTGAAGAAGTGGCCCGTATTCGAAAGTATTTTGATCCTCTGATGGTGCTAGATCGTACAGATCTGCCGACCAATGGTGTTTTATTTCAGGCGCGAAGTGGTCGCGAATTCGAGTCATTGTTGTATCCATTAGGTCAATATACTTCACAAGGGTCCGACCGTCTACAAAAGTCGATGTATCCCGGCAGAGAGCCAATAGGGCGTTGGTATTGCCGACCAGAATGCTACTTGGGTATATTTGACAGGTCTTAATCGTAGAAATACATGCTGATGCGAGACTGAGCGAGGCATCGAAGTTAGAACCGTCCATAATCTCAGAAATGTCGTCCCAGATATTGTCGGATGCGAGGAATTCAGCAACAGTCCTATGGAGATAGTCTACCACTGGTCCTTCAAGTTCGATGTTTTTGGGGGGCATGGAAGCTGCACTCGAGACTGAGTTGTTTGAATAAACATCCAGCAATCCACAACAGCGACTTCTAATTCGTGCCTCCACATTCTTACAGATCCATTCAAAGGTTTCCGCATCCAATGATTGAATTGGCTGGCTAAACGCTTCTGATGGTGTTTGCATAGCAAAGGACAAAGTGATTAACCTAAATGGCTGGTCCGGGATATATTGTTTCCAAGTATTCAGTAATAGGAATATTTCTGCAGCCTGGATTCGATACTCCGGATCCATTTTGGAGATCATACGGCGGTAGAGATCTCTAAGATCTGCCGGTAGTGAACGAAGTTTTCGTCGTAGATCGATTACGTCGTCGCCGGCCTCAATTCCGTTCATGAGAAGCCGCACTACAAGACGCACCCATAGAAAGACACCTGCAGCCTTCTCTTTAAGCTCATTCACTAACGCCCTAGTCTCTTGGGGGAAGCGTCTAGATAATGCAATCATCGAGCGATGAGCGACTAAATTTTCTTTTACAAAGAGCTCCATGTCAGGTCCCGTGAGCCTCTGTAACTCGAGCGAAGGACAACCACGGAATACGCTCAGACAGACAGGAAGAGGCCGGGCAGAGACGATAATTTTGACGTGCTGCGAAGCCAGGGAGCAGAGGAACTCTGAGATGTCCCTATGATCTCCGTCGAACTCATCGACCCCGTCGATAAAAATACATAACCGGAGAAACTTTGCCGACGTTTGTATCAAACGTTCAAACGCCAACTTGATTTCAGTGAGATGGGGTTCTATTTCTTCTGCACAGCCAACTAGACCAGCATCTGCCCAACTTTGGTATATCCCGGAAAATACGCCTGGAATAAGTTCGGGATATTGTGCAAGAATGTCATGTAATAGCGCTCTAAGCATTCCGAGAGTAGTCTTTTGCAGTTCTGTGCCCAGGTTCCAGAAGAAAAACCTGACAATTGAGAGCTCCGCATTGCCAGCCCATTTGAGTAATAAAGTCTTCGTTTCTTGATGGTCGACAATATATTTCAGAAGGGTAGATTTCCCACTACCCGCTTTACCGTTGATGAAGTAAGGCCGCGTAACGTCTGGCTGAGACAGATGTGATACAAAATTGTCCCAGTTGCAGGCGTTACCTTGAGAGTGTTCCTTAAAGATCCACTTGAAAGTGTCTTGGTAGGCCAAAGGGACGTCTTCATACCTCCACGTCATTTGCCGGAAATCGAGCCATTGTAGGATTTCTTTTTCCCGGCTCCGGGGCATATCATCCTTAAGTGAAGAGAGTTGCCTCAAGCAACCCTGGACTTGTTCATGTATTAATTCCAATTTTGGTACTGTGTCGCCTTGGAAACTCGCGACCGATTCGACTATTTTAAGCATCTCCGTGCAGCCCCCGCCTTGATTTTGGGTATCCTTTTCTAGTCGTCTAAGATGGATAAGAATACTTTCCAAGTTTATATTTGCACTTGCTCGAAAAGCTAGTATCGAACCGAGAACCAAGGCATTCCGCAACTTGTCGAGCTTCGTGGCAAAGTCATCAACCTTGCTGTGTAGAAAAACAAGTTTGAAGGTCGCACCAGCGTTCCGGAATGGATTAGAGGAAGAATGATTGCTGACCCATTTGTCAAGATAGGCAAGAAATTCGGCGCCCGTTTTACTACATTGGGACGAAAGTTCCATCAGAAACTGTGACATCTTAGCGAGGTTGAAACTGTCATTCTAACAAATGAACTGACCCTATCTTCGTTTGAGATAGGTGCAGTACTACCCTGTAGACTCTTACTGATCATATCGGTTTGCTTCGTCAAGCTTTCGGCGAGAGCTCTCAAGTCCAGTATAGATGACGGACTACCATTCTTCCTCATAGACTCCGCTTCCGATATTAACTTTCCCGCGAACTGAACGAACTGCACAACATTTCCGGCTAAGCCAATGGCGACGAGAGCTTCCATCTTAATGGAACTGAAGTGTTAAGAACAACCAAGATTGAAGCCTAATGGACGGAGAGGAAGTGGCCAGTGAAGTAGGCTAGGAGATGGCTCCACCAGTCACCCTGCCGGCCACAGGCCTCTCTCACGAAGTATAGCCTTTATAGGATGGATATTTTCTGTCTCTGGCGGTGTACTTGAAGCGATATGGAGTCTGGAAAGGAATATGGGGACAGTATCGATAAAATGATGTGATGCGCTGAAATGGAAGACTGAAGATATCCCTGTTGCGCCACATCGCGGGGCAAATTCTCTGACAAGGCTGACACTCGAATGTAGAAGAGATTATGTCAGCTTATATATATGTGTAACCTTATATCTCATTTAGCAGTAACGTACTTCATGGGCGAGTCGCTCACACACCTAAGTTGCTTACTTTTGCTAAGACCCTACTACACTACTCTTCCTACACTAATGCATTTCTAACAACACTACTTAAACGTGTTAAAGAAACATTAGATGCAGCTTACACTTTAGGCTTTTAAATAAAACGCAACACTTTTTAACTAACACACTACAGCTATCTATAAAGTCTTTTAAAAGATAATAAGTAACTAACACACTAGACAACCTTTTTAAGCTAATTATATAGCTAACTTATAAAAGCTAGATAATAATAAAGAGTAAGTAATTATTTAGCACATACTTAAGCTAGATGCGTAAGGATTTCCCCCCTAGCTAGTAGCTATAGCTAATATAGCTAATTCTTTACGCGCTAAGCATAATATAGGCTATGTTAGCATAAACTAGCCTAATATGTTTATTAAGTGTTACTTAAAGCTTAAAGTAAAGTTTAAGTGTAAGTATAACTATAAAAAAGCTTTTTATAAAAATTCTATAGTAATTTAAAGCTAGTTTAACTTTATAAAGAATATTAAAGCTAAGTATAGCATCTAGAATAATAACATGTACAACTTTAATAAAATAAAGTTTATAATAGGCTAGATATCTACTAGAGCAGTTGTTACAAGTTTAGAGAGATAAGAACAGCTAAAAGTAGTTTAGCTAGGTAACTAAAAGTAGATAACAGCTATTTAAGGCATTAATGCTAAAAAAGTAGGCTATTTTACTCTTTATTATTTTTTAGAGTAGTAACTACCTTTTAAACTAGTATAAAAAGAAAAATTTACTTTAAGATTAAGTTATTATAATCTCTAAGCATAGCTAGACTACTAATTAGCTTAGTCTAGACTAGTTAAAGCACTTTAACGCGCATATAAAGAAGTGTACTGTTAGCAGCTACTGTCTGCTAGTTATTAACAGCTATAAGAGCTATAACTTACTTTATTTTTAGTAATACTATAAAAATAACAAAATTATTACTATTGTCTGTACGCAGCAGCAGCGTCGCGGCCTGGATACAAGCGATCACGCACGAGCAGGATCACGTATCTATGTCACATGATGCTTGTGCGCGAACCTCTGTGCGCGAACATCTAGATATCCCCCTTTTCCTCTGTACAGAGGAAAAACAAGAAGTAATTAACACTAGTTACCTAACACCCCTATGTAATGTTTACACTATGCAAACCTCTCTGTCTTGTACATATTTGCTAACACTAAGTGCTAGCTAGCAGAGAGTTTATTTAACACTAATTAGTAGTTTAAATACTATAAAAAAAAAGCTTTTTTTATACCTTTTTATTTAAAAGTTTATATATAAAAAAAATCTTTTTTTTTACTACTTTAATTATAAATTAGTAAAAGTAAAGATAAAGTTTAATTTATATATAAGTAGCTATAAATCTTTATTTAGTTACCTAAGTAAAAGTAAAAAACCTGTCTATATAATACTATTTAAAGGTATTATATAAATAGTAGTGCTTATTTAACACTAGAAGGTCTGTTTTATCTTTTTGCATAAAGCTGTTTAGAGGCAGCGTACAACAAAAAGTAAGACAGTGCACAATAATATATAATTAACTACTATAGAGTAATAAGTAACGCTAGCTTTATCTATAACTAGCTAACATAATATATTAATATATAACTAATACATACTTTTTATAGGCATCTTAGTAAAGACCTTAGCAAAGTAAATAAATATTAAAAATTAAGTAGATAAAATTAAACTATTAAATAACATACTTAAAAAAAAGCTTAATTTATACATAGCTAACTTAATTATAAAACTCTATATATTAAGTGTAATAAATATATGTATGCTTAAAAACTTTTAAAATAACTTTATAAAGTAAAAGCTTATACACTTTAAAAATCTTAGCTAACTATTTTTATAAAAACTAATTACTACTTTATAGAATAAAGGCATTAGCTTTAAAAAGAACATAATAAAAGCTACTATACTATATAAACTTATAAAAAAAGAACATATGTTTACTATTTTACTAAAGTATTATATAAAACTATTACTACTATTACTAGTTTTAATGTAATAAAGAATGTCTTTATATAAATTACCTATAGACTTAATACTTTTTTTATAATTAGTATAACTACTTTATAATAGCTTACTGTACAAAAGCATAACTAGGCAGCTACATATTCCTGTAGCTATAGCTCTGCATAAGATTCTCTAAAGCTTATACTTACTATATATAATTTAATTACTTTATAATCTATACTAACTTCTACTTATATAAGATATTATAGTAGAGAACCTTACACCTAAAAAGGTTGTATAATTTTAAAAGGCATAAAAAAAATAACTATATAAAGTAACTATATAATATCTTAGCTAATAAGGCTATAGTATTTATTAAGCTCTACTAACACCTTACTATTTTTAAAGCATTATATACAAGCATCTTTTCTAATATTTTTAAAAGGCGTGCACATATGTTCTACTTTTATAATATTAGTCTAAAATAATTATAAAAGTTACTATATAAGCAGCTTAGTAATTACTTTAATACTAATATAAACTATAACTAGTATTAAATAAATTAAATAATAATAAGCTTTATATAAAGTAAGTAAAAAAACTTTATAAAAACTTTACATAAAGCTTTTAAAGCTATAATTAATAAACTTACTTTTACATAAAAAGCTTTTAGTTTATAATTTTAAAGTAAGATACTGCTTTATACTACTATTATATAAGCATACTAAGGGTAACTTAAACTTAAATAAGTAATATTCTTAATTAAGCTTACATATAAAGCACTATATAGTAACCTCTATTTAGCACTTTAGGTTATAATTAATTAACAGAATAATGCATTTATAAACAAATTCTAAAACATGTACTACACTAATAAGTAATATAGCTTACTACATATATATAGCTATTAACAATGTAAAAGAAGCTTAAAAAGATATAGAGGATTATTTAGACTATAGTTCTTTATATAATTAAAGTAATGCTTTATTTATTATAAAAAAAGAATGTTAGTTAATAAATTATCTTTATATAAATTAATTTTATGCAAAACACTAATATATCTTTTTATATAAAAGATTTTATAACAAGACACTAATATATAAAAAGGTAAATATGTATATTTAAAAGTTTAAAAGTAAACTAAAGTAAAAGAAAAAAAAGTTACATAATAATAATAACTTAAATAAAAAAAAAGTAAGAAGATTATTAACTACCTTACTAATACTACATTTCTTTACTACGCAACTGTAAAGGACATCTACAGCCTAGAACCTAAAAAATACGTAGAACAGTTTATTCTTAAAGATTAATACTATATAGTATACTAAAGTAAACTATAGGATACTAGCGTAGTAAAAATCTTTACTATAAAGAAGTTATAACTTAAAGCATACTTATAAAAATTTCTTTATATAAAAGTAAACTAGACACTAAGAAAGAAAAGTATTAGCTTTAAAAAATAAAAATTAACAGAATTAATTAGTACTATATAAATTACTAACTTAGTTAGTAATATAATGTATTACATTTTAAAGACTCTAACACTATTTCTGCTATTACTAGCAAATGCTAACTAACTTAGGGCATACTTTAACAATATTTTAAATATTATTATATGTAAAGACAAAACTACTATTTTTATTATATAAAAATAAAGACACTTTTTTTTTAATATTAGTAAAAAAAAATTTATGTTTTTTTTTACTAAATTAGAACTTTACTGCCTTTACTACAAATTTAGACACCTTTATATAGAGAGACTTTAGAAGATGCTAACTAGCGCTAGCTATAACATTAATGCTGTAGTGCTAGAAGAGATTAAAAAATTTTACTACCTTTACTAATTATATAACTAGGCCCTATAAAGATTTAAGTTTATAATTAAAGATAACACTTACTTTAACTATAAAGTTATTATTAATGTTATATAAATTAATAATAAGGATGTTTTATATATTATTAATATAAATATATTATTTTAGGCTGCTACATTTCTAAAATCTATGTCTACACAAGATACTTAAAATGCACTATATAAATGCTAGATTAACACTTATTAAGAACCTTTAAACTATATTATGTATAACTTTAGTATAAACTTTACTTTAAAAAATTTTTAAGCTTATGTAAAGATTATAAAAGCTACATGTAGGCAGATGCCTATAGAAGCACATTAGGCAGTTAAAAAAGTTAAGCGTGTGTACACACCTCTTTAATAAGTGTTTAACATCCTAAAGACTAAGCTAGGTAACTATACAGATAATAAAGCTATTCTATAGATAGTAGTTAAAGCTCTAAATAATATAGCTAGCCTACACAGTCTAGTACCTACGCTGCTAGTTTTTAAAGCATACTTAAGAATTAACTTAGACTTTCTACTATTACTAGATATTATTATATAAGTAAGCGCTATATAAAAAGTAATAAAAATACTTTAAAAAAACTATATAAAAGTAAACATTAATTATGTAATTAATACTTATAATAGCTTTATAATATATAAAGTTCTTAACTTTTTCCTTAGCTTAAAGATTATAGCATAAAAAGAGAAAAAAGGCTAGACTAGCTTATATAAAATTAAAAGTATTAAAAAAAAAGATATTATTATTAAAAAAAAAATAGCCTACTAAAGCTCTAATATACATAGGTTAAACTATACTATAAAAAAAAAATAACTTACTTATAATAAATAACTTAAATAAACTAATTTTTATATAAAAAGATTTTCTAAAAAAGAGGAAAAAAAAATAGCTTTATAAAAATATTATAAAAGTAGAACTAGAGCCTACTACAGACTAAGCCCCTTAAAATAGCAATGCTGCACTAGTGTAAAAGGAAAATATAGATACTAAAAAAAGTAAAAAGTAAAGAAAACTTATATAAAGTCTAGACTAGGTATTTCTAACTTAAAAAAAAAAGAATAATTAAGCCTTATTTATTAAGCTTTATATAAATAGTGTAATTACTATACTTAAAAAACTATTTAAAGAATTAGACTATATAAAGATAAACACTTTAATTACTAATAGCACTTTTAAAGTTATAGTATATAACTTAATAAGGCATAAAAGTTAGATTTTTAACCTTTACTTTATATAAAAAGTAAAAGGTAAAATAACTTAACTATATAAAAAATCCTGCCTAGTGTTTACTAGCTACTTAAATAAAAAAAAGAAAAATTTTTTTACTTAGTTACTAACTATTTAAAAAATAAGCTAAAAACTACTTTTAGCTATAAAAGTAAGCTTAAAAGCTATGTATAAAATGCATTTTAAACTATGTAATATTATATAAGTATATATTTAATTAATAGATAAGCTTATGCGCACACTATATATAAAGCTACTAAAAGAGATACACTAGAGCTTTCTACTAAATATAATACTCTAGGTTGTATAACTCTTATATAGAGCTGCTAAATTAAGACTATATTAGTTTAAAACATATTATAACTACTATAAAAAAAAGCTATGCATGCACATTTTTTTATATAACCTCTACTTCTTAATTACTAATAAAGAAGAGCACACTTTTAGTATTACTAGCTTATAAATAAATAACACTTTAAGCATTATAATAAAAAATTTTACATAAAGAGAAAAAAAAAAACTATAAAAAGTAAAGTTTTATATAAAAAGTAAAACTATTTTAGTAAAAAAGCAGCTTATTAAGTTTAATAGTAAAAGAATTAAACTTATATATAATATAGTAGCTTTTACTTAGAAGGGATAAGTAAGCTACTTTTATATAATTAACCTAAAAGATAAAGATGCTACATAATAATATATTAAGTAATGTGTAAAAGAGGCATATATTACATTTATATGTTAACTAGAGGTAGCATTTAACTTATTTATTACTGCATAAACTATAGACTTTTTGTATAATAACATTAACACACTTAACGCATAAATCTAATAGTAGATAGATAATAGTAAGTATAGTCTTACTTTCTTACTATTATAGCTTAATTATGTAAAGCTATTTATTTTTATAAATAAATTATTTACTAATAATAAAAACTTTAGCTTATAGCTAGAATTTTTAATTATATTAAATAATAAAAACTATATAAAGTAAAGCAACTACTTTAAAATACTAGGTAATATTATATACTAGAATTCTACTAAGTGTAAAAGAGTAACTAGAAGTGTTTTTACTAGTAAACTATATAAAATAGTTAAAAAGTTTAATAATATAATTACTTTTAGTATAACTTTATAGTAAATTATATAAACACTTAAACTACTACTAATTCTAGTAGTAATTTATATAAATTTAAAGTTTTTATATAATTACCTTATTAAGCTAGGCACTACTAGTAAAAAGTAACTTATAATTAATATTATGTTACTCTATAAATTATATAAAAAAAAGAAATTACTAAAATAAAGTAAATTAATAGTAAAAATAACTTAGTAGATATATATATAAAGAAAACACTAAACTAAGCTTTTTAATTATTAGTTCTAACTAACTACCTCTTTGTCTAGATAGAAGCATCTGTAGACTAGCTAGATTCTGTGCGCAAAGATGCCTTAGACTAACTAGACTAACAACGCCTTTATATAAAGCTTATTTTCTTTTATTTTATTTTTTTTATTATACACACTTATCTTTCTTATTATAAGAATCTGTTACTGTTAGCACTATATAAAAAAAGAAAAGAGCTAGGGGATTGTACAGTAAAGCTTAAAAAGTAAAAAATAAAAAAAAAAAAGCTATTTACATAGCATAACTAGCCTATTCTAATACATAGCATTACTAAGGTAAGTTCTAATAAATAAAGTAAAGTAAAAGTAAAATGTAATTAAATAGACTTATATAGACAAAAGAGAGGTAACATGTACAGAAGGTAACTTTTTAGACAAAAAGAAAAGTTGCTAGTGTCTGTACACAGCAGCAGCGTTGCAGCCTAGATACAAGCAATCACGCACAAGCAGGATCACGTATCTATGTTACATAATGCTTGTGCGTAAACCTCTGTGTGTAAACATCTAAATATCCCTCTTTTCCTCTGTACAGAGGAAAAATAAGAAGTAATTAACACTAGTTACCTAACACCTCTATGCAATGTTTACACTATGCAAACCTCTCTGTCTTGTACGCATTTGCTAACACTAAGTGCTAGCTAGCAGAGAGTCTATTTAACAACTATTTATATACCTTTTTACTTATTACACTTTTTATAGCTACTTAATGTAAGTTATTTTACTTTTTTAAAAAAGGTGTATAAGTGCTAAGCTAAAAACCTTATGCGTAACTAGATTACTTATATTATAAAAATAAAGTTCTTACTATACTTTAAAGCAGCCTATAATACTATAATTACTTTTAGTAATATCTAAAAAAGGTTCTAAAGTGCTAGATTAGTTCCTTTTAACCTATAATAAGTTATAATAGGCCTTAATGTAAAGTTGCGCACTCTATTACTACTACTACTTATATATAACAAGCCCTAGCAGTTATAAACTCTAAGTAATACCTTAGAACTTAAGTTATAATTAATGCTTATAAAGATAAAAATTTAGAAGCATATAAATAGTTTACTAACTTTTATAGTTAAAGTGTTTAAGAAAGTTTTAAAGAAAGTAGTAATAATTACACATAAGCTAGTGTTAGCATAATAAAAAATTACTAAGCTTTAAGCAGCTAATAAGGCTACTACATAACATAAATTACATAAAAGAAAGCAGATTAAGGCAGAAAAAACCTTAATAATTTAAAAAAGCCTGCGCTTAACAGCTTTAAAGGAGTTTAAAGTGCGCAGTAATAGGAAGAAAGCAAAGAAGCAGGTGTAAGCTAAAGTAGGTAAGCTATCCTAAAGGCGCTGCAGACAGTGCAATTAGGCTAGGCATAACGCGTAAATGTGTAAGCAAGAAGCAGAAGTAGTATTTAAATAATATTCTAGGCTGTACTGTACTATATAGTGCTAGAGCGGGTTGTTATAGGCTATAATAGAGTTTGTTGGGGTGGGGTCTTGGCAAAAGTAAGCGACTCGGGTGTGTGAGCGACTCGCCCATGAAGTACGTTATATGAGTAAACGGAACATAGCTTAAGAATAGAAAAATTATAATCAAGACCTGCAAACCTGAGGGTGTCTAATTAACTTAGCGTGGGTGACCTGTGTTGCTGGGCTAAGGACTCGCAAATCAACAATACCACAGCTGTGCTGCGAGGTTTGATATATTCACTTGTTTATCAGCAGCCATCGTTTATTTTGCATATCCAGAAGAAGCATGATCACGCAGGCAAAGCGCTCTTTAAGATACAAATGTCTAGGTTGCCTTAGAGATATTTGGAAATATTTTGTAAGACCCCATCTTATACAGTACATACTTAATTATTGATGCTCTTGACAAATGCGTAGCAGATATACTAAAGTTGCTGGACCTTCTTATCATGATGTTGTCTATGTCTTCCCGCGTTAAATGGAATGTCTCCAGTCGCAACTGACCTAACATCGAGGAACGACTCAAGAGAGCGGGATACAAGGTGAGACTGAGCCTTAAACTGAATGCTGAATCCGTATCTGCCGCTGTCCGTTTATACATTCTGCTTAAGATGACACCGCTAGTGCAAGAAAAGAAGTATGACAACAAAACAAAGGACTCTGTGCTATCCCATCTCTTCTTAAATGCGAATGACACCTTCCTATGGGTGTCCTTAGTCCACCAAAATATTAGCAACCTCATACTATGGAAGGTACTCGCGAAGTTCAAGACGTTTCTACCTAGGATTAACTCCCTTTACGAGCAAACGCTAGAGCATATACGCAACCCAGATGATGCTGATCTTTGCAGGAGCATACTAGCGTTAATTGCAACCGCATACCGACCTATAACAATAGGCGAGCTGAATTATCTCATTAAGGGGCCTAAGGACATGGCTAATAGCATTAAGTTAATACGCGAGATTATTGGTTTTTGTGGCTCACTCGTTACTATCCAGAAAAGAGCTATTTTCTTCATGCATTAATCCGCAAAGAACTTTCTATTCATAGAGGTTTTTAGTAGAACCTTTCCATCTAGAATGGAGGAAACCACTATAAGATCTTCTCAAGGTCTCTCTAGGTCATGTCTAGGACGCTACAACAAGACATGTACAACCTAGGTGCATTCGTATATCCTACTGAGCGGGTTAAACTGCCGGACCCAGACCTACTAATATAATCACGCTAATTGTGTGTTTACTGACTTGATCACCTCTGTGATTCGAATACAAACTCTTATGTACATAATAGCGTTAATGTGCACGATATAAGAAGAGTTGGCAACTTCATAAGAAGGAAAGACCTTTACTAGCTCAAAGCTCTAAGCCTGTGCAAGAGCACGTCAAAAGTGGCAGTGTCAATAGCAAAACTTGAAACTTTAGTCCAGGTAATCTACAAACCAGTAATACTATCATAGTACAATATATAATAACATAACCTAGGGGAGAGTGGATGCATCTACTTTAGAATTAGTTGGAGACGCGCACCGATTTATTATGTCTCACAAGTGGGCAGTAGAGGAAGGTCCTCTTTAGGCATAAGTGTCTGCACTTATGTTTAGCCTAACTTGCAGCCTTATAAGAGGTCTTTTTAAGACAGGAGAGCTTAGCTTAATCACAATAAAGCCAGCTATGGAAGACCAATGGAACCCTTACCTCCAGACGCCCAAGGGCCATAGCGGTTGGGTCAGGTCGGCAGCCTTCTCTCGCGACTTGTCCCGGCTCGCGTCGGCATCGGACGACAGAACGGTCAAGATCTAAGACGCGAGTAGCGGCGAGTGCCTCCAGACGCTGTATTGGCATTGGCACTACCGACATTAGTGCTCTATCAGGTTTAATTAAATCTCGAAATATTGCAGAGCCTTGTAACCTCGAGTATCGAAGCCTAGCCTTAAGTCCAGATGGTGTATAGATAACACATGATTCAGAGAGCCTAGTGTGGCTACCCTCGGAGCATTTTCCGTCATGCTCAGCGGTGTTATGGAACATAATCGGTATCGGTGTTGGAACTGGAAGGGTGTGGATATGCAAGGTTGCGCTTGACACATCCTGAGACAATTCATACAGAGATAATTTACTCTCGTGTATTTTGTATTATCTCTATTTCATTGAGGGGGCTGAGGATCAACGTAAATATTTAGCTTGTTAATTTGCCACTGCGGAGGTTCGAACATCCTCTAGATCAAGGAGCAAGATGGCATGTTACACAAGTAAAACCTTGTAACGTACCTAACGGGTTGGCCGGCCACACGGGTTAGCCGGCCACTTTTGCTAAGCCCCTACTAAAACCACCCTATTCTCTCGCAAAACAGCCCACTTTAGCCCTGTATAAAGTAATACAACATAAGATATTATTTAGAGTTTACTTTTACTACTTACTTATATATATGTAAGTTATACCTAGTCTAATTACACTACTTATAACGTACCTAACGGGTTGGCCGGCCACTTTTGCCAAGCCCCCACTAAACTCTACCTATCTACATAATGCCTTAATAATAACACTAGATTAAATCTTTTAAAGAATGTTAGATACAGCTTGCTTTTTAGGCTTTTAAATAAGACTTAAAACTCTTTTTATAACATGCTATAACGTACCTAACAGGTTAGCCGGCCACACGGGTTAGCTAGCCACTTTTGCCAAGCCCCTACTAAAACCACCCTATTCTCTTGCAAAACAGCCCACTTTAGCCCTGTATAAAGTAATACAACATAAGATATTATTTAAAGTCTACTTTTACTACTTACTTACATGTATGCAAGTTATGCCTAGTTTAATTGCACTGCTTGTATTACCTTTAACTTAGCTTACTTTTTTTAGTGTGCACTTATGTCTTTAGCTTTTTTTTATTACTACGCGCTCTAAACTTCTTTAGAGTAGTTAAATAAGCTTTATTTTTAACTATTAAAGTTTTTTTTACCTAAATCTACTTTCTTTTATGTAATTTATATTATATAGTAGCTTTATTTGCTGCTTAAAGCTTTATAATTTTATAGCCTACTTTATTATATTAATGCTTTAAATAACTATTATTTACTTTTTATTACTTTACTATATTACCTTTAGCTGTTTTTATTTTTTTAAAGCTATAATAACTACTCTAGTTAATATCTAGCTTATTATAAAGCTTAACTTATTAAAGTTATACTTGTTTTTATTTTAGATACTATACTTAGCTTTTATATTAGCTACTAGGCAAAACTAGCCCTAAATAACCTTTAAATTATTATAAAGCACTTTTTTATAATTATACTTATAATTAAACTTTATTATAAACTTAGAGTAGTGCTTAACCTATATACTAGTCTAGTTTAAGCTAACCTAGCCTAGATTACACTCTACAGGTAAAGAATTAGCTATATTAGCTATAGCTATAAGCCTAAAAGAAAATCTGTGTGTAATAAGCTTAAGTATATACTTAATAACTACTTTTTTTTTAAGCTTAGTTAGATTTCTTAATTTAGGCTAGCATTCTGCTTATAAAAGCTGTCTAGCGCGTTAATTACTTAGTGTTATATAAAAGACATTATAAATAGCTGTAGCATGTTATAAGAAAAGTTTTAAGTCTTATTTAAAAGCCTAAAGAGTAAGCTGTATCTAACATTCTTTAGAAGATTTAATCTAGTGTTGTTGTTAAGGCATTATGTAGATAGGTAGAGTTTAGTAGGGGCTTGGCAAAAGTGGCCAGCTAACCTGTGTAGCCGGCTAACCTGTTAGGTACGTTAGCTATTTATAATGTCTCTTACACAACACTAAGTAATTAACGCGCTAGACAGCCTTTATAAGTAGAATGCTAGCTTAAATTAAGAAATCTAACTAAGCTTAAAAAAAAAGTAGTTATTAAGTATATACTTAAGCTTATTACACGCACATTTTTTTAAGCTTATAGCTATAGCTAATATAGCTAATTCCTTACTTATAGAGTGTAATCTAGGCTAAGTTAGCTTAAACTAAACTAGTATATAGGTTAAGCACTACTCTAAGTTTATAATAAAGTTTAATTATAAGTGTAACAATTGTGCACAAGTAAGGTTATAGAGCTTCACAGAGGTCTAGTTTAATTACTACGTGAGGTATTATAGTAGGTACAAGACGTTGTGTAAGAAACAGGAAAGTTTAAAAAAAAATTAGTAATTAAATACTTAGCTTAAAAGTCTAAGCGCTTTAAGTATAAATTAAGCCTGTTTTAAGTTTAGTTAGTGTTAAAGCAGTTTATACTTAAGTTTATGTCTATGTTATGTTATATTTATGTTAGACATGCACTAATAATACTTTAGTACATATCTAATACAGTTATGTCTAGGATCTAGAGAGGATACTGTAATAGTACCTCCCCCCTTATTAAGAAGGAAATCCTTTACATTAGTAGTTTTAGCATTAAGTTGTCTTTATTAGAGTATAAGTTTAGTTTAGATAAGTATTAAGCATAAAATTAGGTTACTGCAGAGTTCTCTTATAAGGCTTCTATAGGTTTCTACAACAGTTTGTTGTATCTAGTTTATTTTATAAAGTATTTATAAATACATTTTTTCTTATTAAACTAGATTTATTTAACATCTTCTATAACATATTCTAGTTTATTATTTATAATAATAAGTTTAAGTAGTAGGTTTAGCTGTTTAGGTAGATAGTTAGATTTAAAGGCTACTTAGCGCAGCAATAATACGTAGAACACAGGGTGTATCTTTATGCTGTTAGGTAGGATTAATTAGTAAGTATATAATAAGACTATATAAGCTACTATAAAAAGGCTAAGGTTTTTTTAATTAAGTTTTTTTAATTATTAGTTTATTTAGATATTTTTAGTGTCTAGCTAGACTTTCTTACTAGCTGCATACATAGAGGCAGGAGTTTAAAATTAGTTTATGTACTCTTATTAAAAAGCTTAAGCTTATATAAGCTTTTTATAAACATATTTAAATATATTTTAAATCTTATTAATAAGTTTATTTACATTTATTACTTATACAGATTAATAAGTTAGTTAGGGAGTATTTAAAAGTAGTTTAAATTCTATTTAAAGGTAGTATTTATAGTTTACTAAAAATAAAGATACTTATATTAATTTAAATGTTGTGTTATTAGCTTTAAACTATACTATAGCTAACTATTTTACCTAGTTATCTTACTAGTAGTTTATGTACACTTATAAAACTTATTTTATTATAGCATTTATGTTCTTAGTCTAGCTATTAGTCTCTAAGTAAAAAGCTGTAGATAGATAAAAGATAATTTAGAGCTATTTATAAAGTTTGTTTTAAAAGGCTAAGACAAACTGTGTACCTCTGTCTAATATAATTATGTTAGGCAGGCTATAGTAAACTTATATATATTAGTAGAATAACTAGGCTATATTAAGGGTAGTTATAAAAAAACATAGTATTAAGTATTAATACTTAGTTAAGTAATTAATAACTACTATAATATTTATATACTTTTTAAATAAAGGTAAGTTTATAATAAAATTAATTAATATATCTTTCTAAGCTTATTTAAAAATTAGAAGTAGTTTAAGTAGGCTATTATACCTTTCTTAAAAGGCTTTTACTTTATAGTAAGTATAGCAACATAATACATATTAGCGTACAGTATAGAACATGCAGGGCTAGTAGTACTCTCTCTGTAGTAGGTTAAGAGTCTTTCCTCTGCCTAAGTGTTCTCTAATAAGTAAGTTGTGTATAATTTAGAGTAGTTTAATTCTTAGTTTATTAAAATTAAAAATTATAAGTTAGTTATAGTAATATAGCTTACTATTTTAGTTTTTATAGTTAGCTAGTGTTACCTTTTTTAACTAACTAGCGCTGTTTTAAAGCAGGTTTAAAGTTTTTTAAATAAATTTATTATTTAAATACTTATTAGTAATAATTTAATTAATTATCTAATTTATTTTATTTAAGTTAAAGTCTAAAAATAGCTTAAGTTAAAGTAGAGTTTAGTGTTAAG